AGTGAGCTTTTTAGGGGCTTCAGATAGATGCCAGTTTTCAAATCTGTCTCTATGCCTAGAGCTGGATGCAGCAGGTAACCTGAAATGTTAGCACTACAATGCCCAAATTTTCTGCTTTATTATATCTTGTGCTTCAGAACAGATGCTTATGTCATGTTTTCTTTATTAAATTAGGCTACATTTGATTTAGCACTTAAAATGTTCTGGCAATTTCTATCTAATTCAGATTTGGAAAAACTCATTTATAGTATTTTAAAGATCTGCTCATGTTGAATTGAAAACTATATTTTGATGGGGGGATAGAAAGTATTTTGCCCTTTTTTTCTCATATTCTGACTCAGGATCACTAACCTTTGTGTGTGCCAAGGAAAATCCCCAGTGGGACTGTCAGTGGCCCTTGGGATTTTTCTGTGCTCTGCATGTCAGAGCAGGGAGCACCGTCTGTCATCTGTCCTTTGGGCAGCACAGGGCGAGCCAGGGGGTCTGGCTGTTGTTACGTGACGAACGTGGGCTGAAAAATAAAACGAGTAATAAGAGAGGAGTCACTGCTAGGTCTGATTTAAAATGGGGTGAGCACAATTGATTAATAATGTTCCATTAAAAGTTTGTCCCAGGATTTGCCATTTCGTACCCTGTCCGTACTTTGGTTCCAAAGTCAGCTGAATGTTCTGTTGTAGTTGGGGAGACAGGGTTTTGCTGCACAGCATTTGAACTAATTATTGCAACAGAAGCTATGAAGATACAGTTACTTTTAACTCACCTGAATTAAAAAAAAATAAATATGTTTGTAAATGAAATTTTCCGAGGAGGGGGGATGTTTGGGGTCAGTTGCTTGTGCATGCGAAGTATTTTACTTTTCTAAGAAATGCATGCAACAGCTTCTCCCATTTCACTCTACTCATATTTTGCATTTGTAATCTATGTAAACACTAAACTGATTTTGCAACTAATTATTCATTACCCAACACAGCCAAAAATGTTTTCTGTTTTTAATAAGTACTGAATTGAAGCTGGTCAAGTATGTTGGCTACAGTACGTAATAACACCAGCAATCTCCTCCCACCCCATTAAGGATATTATTTAAAAAAAACAGCAATCCAAAACAAAACAACCCCCTCATGCTATTGGTTATACTGATGAAGCTCTGTATTTTCCAGGTCATGTGTATGGTTGCAGTTGGACAGAAGTTCTGTGCTTGTTTAAAACAAATTTAAGCCATTATCCTCAAATTAATATTTCCTTCCTGATGGCTGAAGAAATGTTGTTGATCAGGGGAGTAATATTTTATAAAAGATGCACAATTAAGATACTGAAACACAAAGTATTAATTTAAAAATAGTTTTCACTTTGTGGTGTCCCAGCAGTAGGATTTGCTAACACGGAATACCTGTGGTTCCTGTTCCTTGTGCCTTGTTTACAGTCTTTGCTCAGCTCACAGAGGAGGGATAGAAATGCTTCTGGTGGACTCAGTGCTTTTATTTCACATCTTTGCTTATATAAAGAGGAACCTATTCTTAAGAATTTTTTAAATGGGTTTCACATTTCAATCTGAACAACTCTGAAAAGGAAAGAAAATATTGTGAATTTCTGTGAAGAGTTAGTTTCCTAGAAAGTTGAAGGAAATATGCATTTTCAAAAAAAAAGAGCCCCAAACAAAGAGAAAAGTTCTCTGGATTTAACAATATAAAATATTTTGCATTCATTATTTTTCCCAAATGTTTGAGGATGTTACAGATTAAGTGAGACTGTGCTACTCATTATTTATTTCATAGCAGCAAGCCCCTTCTAGTTGAAAGAAAATGGAAAAATGGCTTTTTGTTATTTGCTTCTAGACACAGGAATATCAAACTTTATTCAAGATCTGTATTCAAACTCTTGGTTTGCCTGCAGCTAAGCCCCAGTTTTTGCAGGTTTCTGTTCGTGTTGTGAATTTTTTTTTCCATTTTCTTCACCTGCCCTTTTTCCTACAAGCGTTGTGTCAGCAGCCTTGCTGTTTCACCCGATTGTTCCAGTGGGTGTTGGACACTCCGAGGTTATTGCATGGTTTTTTCTCTGATTTTTGAAGCGTGGTTGAGGAAGGTGCCAGCGGGATCCGCTGCCGCGGGGCGGGGAAGGCGCGGCACAGCGACCGCCTGGAGCAGGGATCACTGGAGCCCCTCCACAGAACCACTGGAACCCCTGCCAAAGTCACCACTGCCACATTAGCCCGTGGTGTTGGTGAGGGAATCATCTGAACCTTGGGAAGCGTGACTGTGGGTCAGGAAAGGGAGCACCTGGGTTTGCAAAGCCTTAGGAAGCCCAGGGCTTGGAGCTGCACGTCCCTGGTGGGATCCTGCTAAGCTGTGCTTGGCCAAGCCCAGGCACTTGGCCACTTTCTGCTCTTAATGTGGACATCTGTTGGATTTTATAGTTCTTCTCATCACAATATTCTTTTCTTCTTACTGCTCCTGAAGATCTGGTCTTGTATTTAATGCAGTGTTTTGCTCCCTACTCTCAGCAATCATTCTAAGCTATTTTTTCATCTTCAATCCCACCCATTCCCCTTATTTTGTCTCCTAAGTGCTCTCAAATTTGAGCACTGCTTTAACCACCATCTTTGGGGGAAAGGAGAAAGGAACTGATTAAACAAGCAGCTCCCTTTCATCTCATCAGCCATGGTGCTGTTCCTGTGAGTGTGGAGACGTCCTGGGCGCTCTCCTGATCCTTCCCCAGCCTGCCCTGCAGGGCTCTGCTCGGGCAGCACCTGCACACAGAGCTGAGCTTTCAGCTTTGAGGAGACCTTTCATTGGAACAATGTATTTCCAGCCACTTTGAAATCCTGTCGAGGCTCAAACGCAGCCCTGAGCCGCACCACCCACAGGGTTGAAAAAAACCTCCTGTAACTCCTCTTATCTGATTCCTTGGTTGCCTCAACTTCTTATCTTCTGGCCTGGCCTGCTGCTGCTTTTTTCCCTTTGTTCATTCTTGCTCTGCTAAGAGTGTTCCTCGGCTCATTTCTCTGACCCTGCTGACCCTTTTTAAGTCTTTGCACAGCCTGCCTTCCCCTTCCATGTCTTATCTGGGATTCTGCTCTCTGTTTAACACCTGTGTAGCAAATCTAGATCATCAGGTAAATGTTCAACGTGCTTCCTCAGCTCTGTGCTGTAACAGTGGCTGTATCCAGGAATAACAGGATGCTTCCTTCCTTTCTATCCATTGCATGTAGAGGAAGGAATCCAGGTAAATCCAAGTGGTTCTGTTCACATTCTTTCAGATTTGTCATGTGTTTGTCAGTTATTATGGAAGAAGTTCTTCCGTGTGAGGGTGGTGAGGCACAGAGAAGCTGTGGCTGCCCCTGGATCCCTGGAACATCCAAGGCCAGGCTGGGCAGGGTTTGAAGCAACCTGGGACAGTGGGAGGTGTCCCTGCCCATGGGAGTGGAATGAGATTACTTTTAAGATCCCTTCAAATCCAAACAGTTCTATTTTCTCTGATTATTTAGGTCTTTTCCTGGTATCATGAGAAGATGGGTGATGAACTAAGACTGTTCTTCCTTTCCTTTCTCTAAAATCCTTTCTTCTGCTTCAATTATTTTTTATTTTAAAAAAAAAGCAATCTGGGTTGGCTTAGCATGTTATTTCTTCATCTTGCAAAATCTTCATAAGGCAACCAAGCAACCACCTTAAAAAGCTACAGGTGAAATATGTGAACATGACTTTGTCAGAGAGAGAGAGCGTGGTCTTTTCTCATCTTGGGAGTAAATTCTGCAGAATCAGAACACATCTAATTAGAGGAGCTAATCACACCAACATACTTGTGATTTAAATTAATTCATATGAGGCATTCATTGTTAACAACTTGTTTGGGAGATTTGTTGCATCCATCTTCCCCACAAAAATATTCATTCTATTCACAAAAAGAGTAGAAGCCATGTTTCAGCAGATACAAAGCAAGTAAAAATAATTGACATCCAAAATTGGTTACTTTGATATGTGCAAGCAGTTAGAGGAGCTCTTCTGCAGATTGTCTCCCATACAGCTCTCTTGGATCAGACTGAAATACTTGTTATCAAATTCCTGTCAAAAGAAACTAAGAGAAATAATCTTGTACAGAGCAGTTGGGATGGAAAAGAAATGCAAAAGCTTGAGTTCTTAACATGAGACGTGTTGTGCCTTCCAGTTTATCGTCACACCCTGGTGAGCAAGCAGCTGCTCAAGAGCTTTTGGTTAATTTTTTGGGTTAGTGTCTGTGTTTGAGGATGTGACAGTGCTGAAAAGGCACAGCATCACTTTTCATAGGCTCGGGGACAAGGGGATTGTGTGTACAAATCCCAAATGATGTATAAAGCACGAGAAAAGCCTGTGAGAGGTAAGTTTCCTGACAAAACCGTCAGTTATTTAGAGATGCCCAAGTTCTCTGCTCAAATATACATGGGTGGTGTTTATAATTGGCACCTCACAGTAAAGGTTGCTGTCTGTATTTGTTTCTTTGTTTCCAGGAAGGGTTGCAAACCTAAATGCAGTATCAATTTGGTGTGTTGTGATGTGGGTGTGTATGTAATATCTCAAGGCAGGCTGACATTTTACATTTTTTTATTGGATGCACTTTCATTGTGTTTCTCTGAAGAATGAAAATTGAGTCAAAATAAATGGTAAGAGTCTGCTAGGTACTCTTCTGTGTTTTTTCCAAATTTGCTCTTTAGACTTTTCACAGAGATTAGTATATTTGCTCTCTTCTTATTTATTGCCTTCTTATTATTTTTACTGGTACACTGGGGGCTACAAAACACTTGCTCTGTTATTTTAATTGAGAGTTTTGTCAGATTAAAAAAAACCCCAAACAAGTTAATATGAGCATCGTGCTCCATTGTGGTGAGTAAAATTGCTGTATTATGTTAGAGAATGTACTCTAAATTTTAGCAGAATGTAGTGTTGTAACTAGTGATGTAAAACAGTGCTTTTAATAGAGGGCTTTTCCCGTGCTTGAACAGTGGACTCATTTTTAACCTTGCATCCTTTCAGATCTCAGCCACAGTGGATTGGGAGACCATTATGAGAATTCCCACTGGGGACAGCAGACCGCTTTCAGGAGTGAAGGCAACTGCAGCTGGGATAAAGTGATAATAGACAGGACTGACAAGGAAGCGTGGCCTTCCATTACCGGAGCTGAGACTGAGTCTGCCTCAGAATGTACTACAGACACTGACTCTGCCTCCAACTGTGGCTCAGAGAACAGTAGCATGGCTACAGGGAGTGCCCAAGGCAACTTCACTGGACATACAAAGAAAACTAATGGCAATAATGGCGCCAACGGAGCACTCGTCCAAAGCACTTCTAACCAGAGTGCCCTTGGAGCTGGTGGAGCCAACGGCAACGGCAGCTCGGCCAGGGTGTGGGGGGTGGCTGCAGGCTCCAGCTCTGGCCTAGCTCACTGCTCTGCCAGTGGTGGGGATGGAAAGATGGACAACATGATGGGAGACGGTAGAAGTCAGAACTGCTGGGGTGCTTCCAACTCGAATGCTGGCATTAATCTTAACCTTAACCCTAATGCCAATCCAGCTGCCTGGCCTGTACTTGGACATGAAGGAACTGTGGGAGCAGGCAACCCTTCCAGTATTTGCAGTCCAGTCAGTGCCATAGGTCAGAACATGGGCAACCAGAATGGGAACCCAACAGGCACCTTGGGTGCTTGGGGAAACTTGCTGCCGCAAGAGAGCACAGAACCACAAACGTCCACTTCTCAGAATGTGTCTTTCAGCGTACAACCTCAGAACCTTAACACTGATGGACCAAATAACACTAACCCCATGAACTCTTCACCAAACCCTATCAATGCAATGCAGACAAACGGACTGCCGAACTGGGGGATGGCCGTGGGCATGGGGGCCATCATCCCGCCCCACCTGCAAGGCCTTCCTGGTGCTAACGGAACAGCGGTTTCTCAAGTCAGCGGGGGCAGTGGTGAAGGAATGGGCAGTTCAGTATGGGGCATGTCCCCAGGTAATCCTGCCACAGGAAACAGCAATTCTGGGTTCAGTCAGGGGAATGGAGACACTGTGAACTCAGCATTAAGTGCTAAACAAAACGGATCCAGCAGCGCTGTGCAGAAGGAAGGAAACGGAGCGAACGCGTGGGACTCGGGGCCTCCCTCTGGCCCCGGGGTCCTGGCTTGGGGCAGGGGCGGTGGCGGGGTTGGCAGTGTGCATTCTGGAGCCTGGGGCCACCCCAACCGCGGCGCCAGCAACGGTGTCAACGGGGAGTGGGGCAAGCCCCCAAACCAGCATTCCAATAGCGACATCAATGGGAAAGGATCAACAGGGTGGGATAGCTCGAGTGTTACCAGTCCGAATCCTGCCATGCAGCAGGGCAATGAACAAATGAACTCTTGGGCCAAAGCTGCAGCATCTGGCACCACGGCTAGTGAAGGAAGCAACGACAGCGGTGGGAGTCAAAATGAAGGCAGTACTGGGAGGGAGGGGGCTGGAGAGGGCAGGAGGAGAGACAAAGGGATGATAGACCAAGGGCAAGTTCAGTTGCCAAGAAATGACCTTGACCCCAGGGTCCTGTCCAATACGGGGTGGGGACAGACCCCTGTGAAGCAAAACACTGCCTGGGAATTTGAAGAGTCCCCAAGGTCTGAACGGAAGAATGACAATGGAACTGAGGCCTGGGGTTGTGCAGCTACTCAATCTTCAAACTCAGGGGGGAAGAACGATGGGTCCATCATGAACAGTACAAATACCTCTTCAGTATCTGGGTGGGTCAACTCTCCACCGGCAGCTGTTCCAACAAATACAGGTTGGGGAGACAATAACAACAAAGCACCAAATGGCCCAGGGGGGTGGGGAGAGTCAGCAAGCTCTACTACTGTTAATAATGCTGCTGCTGCCAAAAGCGGCCACACTTGGAGTGGGACCGCAAATCAGGAGGACAAATCACCTACCTGGGGTGAACCTCAGAAACCCAAATCTCAAAACTGGGGAGATGGACAGAAATCAAATCCAAGCTGGACTTCAGGAGGTGGAGACTGGACAGATTCATCATCTGTTCCTGGACACTTGGGTGATGGGAAGAAGAATGGATCTGGATGGGATTCTGACAATAGATCGGGGTCTGGCTGGAATGATTCCACAAAGTCTGGGACCAGTGGGTGGGGGAATGGCACAAACAGCAAGGCTAATACAGGTACAAGTTGGGGGGAATCTTTAAAGCCAGGCCCCCAACAAAATTGGGCTAATAAACCCCAGGACAACAATGTGAGTAACTGGGGAGGAGCTGCTTCTGTAAAACAGACGGGGTCAGGGTGGGTTGGTGGGCCAGTGCCAGCCAAACAAAAAGAGAACTGTGAGGCAACTGGCTGGGAAGAGCCATCTCCACCGTCCATTCGCCGCAAGATGGAAATCGATGATGGTACCTCAGCTTGGGGCGACCCAAATTACAACAACAACAAGACTGTAAACATGTGGGATAGAAATAATCCTATAATTCAGAGCAGTACCACAACCAACACCACCACCACTAGCACCATTATCAACAGCAACATGGTTGAACCTCAGCCATCGCACCAGTCAAGTGCCCAGCCGAACCGGTCCCCGCTGCTTGGCCCAGGTATGGCAACAGTTTTGTGAAATACTTCATGAAACAGGTTTAAGAGATACTTTATGCCAGTACCAATTGCTGAATGCTGTCTGTTCTGTGTTGGGTACAAAACCTGTGTTTATATCCAGAGTGTGTTTGTTCCTTTACTCTGACGCTGTCTTGTCTTGAGGACAGAATCCATAGAACCTGACACAAATTTCCATAATCTAAATGAATGTAAGAAAGCCTTGAAACAATATTTGGTCAACAGCATGGTAGGTTCTTAGACTGTGGATCCATGTTCATTTTAACATCTCTTCCACAGTTACTTAACACCTTTTCATTCAGCCATTTGAGAGGCTGGGGGATTCTGGCAAACCTTTCTTCTGTTATTTATTTGCCTGCTGTCCCCACTGCGCAGGCTCGGTGTGTTTAGACAGTCTGCATCTGTTTCTTTTCTGCAAAACATCTCTTGGCAACAGATGTTTGTTAACAATTGCATGCATTTAGGCTGCTGCTGTTTCTCTGTCCAGCTTGTTGTCTTTTATGAAGAAATGGTTCCCTTCTCAGGGGTCGGGCACAGGCAGCATCCTGGATTTTGTGTGGTTCTCAAAAAGCAGGAATATTCAGGTTTATATAGCTGTTAAGGTGTTAATATTCAGGGTTTCCTGTGTTTCAAACACAAGGTTTAGGTATTTAGGAATTTTTCTAATCAAAGGCACGGTGCTGTTGTAGACAAGCAGCAAGGAATAAAAATGCATTAAAAATGGGAAAAATGCTTAAAAGAGAGGTATTTAAATAAAAGTTACCCTAGCAGCCCATATCTATATCATGACCACAGACCTCTCCAAAATAAATGTAATCATGCAGTACTCTTTCAAATTCTACACCTGAGTTTTGTTTCCAAGTTTTTGTTTCATCGTGGTCATGGCTAAGTACTGACTTTTTAACCACGTTGTTCTCCAAGTGGGATTTGTTCTCTCATTCCCATCCTTTTTCTCTTTGATGTTTTGGAATGTTTCAAATTTGCTTTAATGTCTGTATAAAAATAGTCTTACATTTCCCACTCTAGTCAAATATGTTAACAGTAGAGGGTGCCTATTTTAATGAAATAACGTGCTCCAGAAGGAAAAAATCTTTAAATGGCTTTGTATTTGGTCAGCCAACATATGTGACTAGCTTATTTAATCCATATTTAAAACTTTACCCATGAAACAAGAATTCAGATTCCTGAATTGTAATGGAAGTATCATGAAATTGGATTTTTGCTTGGGTTTGAGTGAGGTTTTGTTTTTCATTAAGGTGATTTTTGGAGGATTACATTGGTGCTTGTGAAACTGTTCATACACAGCAATGCATTGTTAATGTTATTCAAATAATTAACACCTTATAGAGGAAAACGTAGCGGTCCTGAGCCCTTCAGATTTTGAAAATGGAATTTAAAAGCTGGCGTTAATCTGCAGTGATTCCTTTGGAGCATGAACAGCAGCAGAGGAAGGGTTTCTTTGGAGCAGTGTGTTTACATATTCAGAAACTGCCTATGAACACGTAACCAGCCCTGACCAGGTTCAAGTGAGTGTTGGGCTTCTTGAAAAATGTGAGCTAGAAAGATTCTAAGATCTTTTAAGATAAGCAAAGCTTTTATCTTCTCTTTTTTTCTTTTTAATTTTCCAAGATAAGCAAAGCCAGCTCTCAGAATACATTTAAGTCAGCATGCAAGAAAGTATGAAATGAGTAATAGTGAAGACAATTTAAAATATGGTTCTCATATTAAAATTTAGATCAGGTTGTAGCAGTGTAGCATAAATTAAACCTTATACTTGGTATAGTACAGCAATTCTGGGTATAGTACAAGTATAAAGGTATATTACCAACTCTTGATATAGTACAAGTATAAAGGTCAAACATGGAAATATTTGGAAGGGTTTTTGTCTAAATGGAAGCGAGGAGCAGTCCCTTGTGCCTTGAGCTCTGCTGTGTTTGCTTGTGGCTGTGCCAGAGAGGGACCAAAGCTGTGCTTGTCTCACACAGAGCAGCAGTGCAGTTCCAGGGGATGCATCCCAGTGGCTTCCCTTCATGCAGGAGGGCCCCTTCTCCCTGCACAGCAGCATCCTCGTGCTCTGGTGGGAATGTACACAGACCTGAAGCATCCACAAATCATCTCCCATCTGGGACAGCCAAAACAAAGGAAGCGAGTAGTGAGTGTCTTGCCTCCCTCACAGACACTTCGGAGTTGTGCTGTTTAACTCTTTTTCCTACTCCAATTCCCTCTCCACTTTGCTGTGCATTTCCAGCCTCTGCAGAGAATCCTGTCACCAGGAGACTTCTGCAGTCCACAACCAAACTTCATCCAGCAGCAGTTCTTTTCCATGCAAAGCATGATTGTGTTATTAGAGCCTGTGCCACAGGGCACAGTTAAGTGCTCGTCTAAAATCCTGCAACTCTTGAACTCTGTAGTTACCATGGGCATTTTGTCACCTGCGTGGGTCATGACGTGCTCTGCCAGTCACTTCCAGGGAATAGAATGAATTAGGAATCCTGGATTCCATTCCTGTGTAAGGAGTGGTGCAGATGGAAGTTGTCACAGTCATATGTCCTGCAGGCAAAGAAGTGGATTTTAATTTTGCTGCACAGCCCTAGTTAGGAGTTCACAAAGGATTAACAGTTCCTTTTGGGATTGAAGTGTATGCTTTATTAGTTTGGAAATAGAGGCCAAGTTACAGTCTTGTTATTCAAGTTGTCACCCATCCCCAGAAGTTCTCCAGATCCTTTGAAGGCAGAACTTAAAAGCCATTGATGGGAAGCAGATGTTGGTAAACACTTGGTGAAAATGAAGAATGCTCTAAGGAGTTTCATTTTCCATTGGAAAAGAAGAGGAAAAAAAGAGGGGGGAAAGAGATAGATAATGTGATAGATACAGTCCTTGCTGGTTATAGGAGCTTGTTCTCAAGGCACTGGTGAATTACTTAGAAAAAGGATCAGAAAACTGGTGGATTTAAGTTAGATTGGGATTTAATCTGAATTACTTGTGCATAATTCTTCCTAGCATTTGTAACTCATGCAGCTTTGATATGAGGGGAATAAGAAGTGAGAAAAGGTTTTGCAAACAGAAATGATTTAATGAGATTTTTGGATCCCAAACAGCATCAGATCCTCCCTCCAAGTGCTGAGGAGGGGGCTTGATGCTTTCCTGCTCATTACATCAGGAGAGCCTGGCAGGGTTCCAGCATCCTCCAGCTGAGGAAAGAAACAGCAGAAGATAACACAGGCTTCCCTGTGGGGATTGTAGGTCACAAATTAAAGTCTTTGTGGTTACTGGAGAGTGAGGAGCTTCAGTTTTAAAAACCTGAACTGGGTCTAAGTTCTGAAAGCTCCAAACATCTCTGTTCCTTTTATAATCCTGTGCCAGCTCACATGGCAGTGTTGTTCTTACTTTGAACTTCCATCAGAATGGATTTGAAAGCAGCTCAGCTTTGGGCTCCTTTAGGGTGCTCATGTGAAAACCTAAAAGCCTCTGGTGGGTGCTCAGCCCATGAATAGCCAGGTTTTGGGGGGCAGCCAAGTGATGCTGAGAGAGCTGCCCTCGATTTTCACACAAGGCTGATGGCACTGCTGAAACCCAAATTAGAGCTTTCTGAATGCTCAGTGATGAACTGGAATCCCTTTCAGAAAATGAGAATTTGAAAGATTAAAGACTGTAGGTAGCTCTTAAATGTATCTATAAAACCCAGAATAACTAGTGTGTAATTAGTAAACAACTTCTTTTCTGCCTAATATCTTCTTTTTTTAAATTTATATAAGGATCTAATATTTTGGTTTGCCTGTATTGTGCTCTGCTATTTATCACGGACCAACAACTTGAAGGAAAACAATTTCTGCCCTCCAAATAGCTATAGGGTTATTTTGAGGGAAAAAAACTGCATCCTGCCACAGCTTAGTTAACATTTCACTTTCCCTTGAGGATTTCCTGTTGGCTGTGGCCCAATGTTAATTATGTTTTTATTTCTATAAAACAAAGCTCTGCCAATGTGTCCATGTTTATTACTTACTGTGATCTTTTCATTTCTTGCAATTCTAACAATGTTTAAAACTTCAGTACTAAAACCTCACTTTCATGCCAAAGAAGCCTTTAAATGGAGCGCGTTCTGTTGTGAAATAACGTTTGTGCAGCTCTGGGTGGGTTTTAAGGAGCTTTTTACCAGGAGAGCGTAAATCTGTGTCATTTTCATCAGAAAATAGGAAGTTTAAGTTTTCTCCAAGCAGAGCTTCTGAAAACGTTTGGCAGGTTCAGGTTTTGAGGCTACTCAAAGGTCTTGGTTTCCCTTCCCAACAGCCATGGGGAGTTTTGCATCGTTCATTCAAAAATGTAACTTTATTCATCTTTAAACTTCCTAAAACAGAATCATTTGGAGTCATAGAACGATAGCACAGAGACAGCAGCATTGGGACAGGAATATTTACACAGAGGGGAAGCAGGTTTACAATTGAGGGATGCTCCAGAATTTACAGACAGGGTAGTTTTTGCAGTGCACAGGTTATTTTTCCAGCAGCCTTCAGGTTTTATTTACTAATTTCCTGCACTTAATGTTATCTGTTAAGATAGTTTGGAAAACTTTTTGTAGATTTATTTTGTTTGCTTTTATGTACTTGTACTATTTTCTATTAGTAAAGGCTGGTTCCCCCATTATTTGTAATCCCATATTATTTCCTGCTCAGTGCATTTAAAAGCACTTAAAATAATTTGGACATGACACATCTGTGGCCTTTAGCTGAAGTTGTTGAATTTCTAAGAGCAGCAGAGGAACCAGGTTTTTTTGAGGTTTTTACTCTATAGCATAGCAGACTTCAGCTTTTTCATGTCTAAATTGTGTTTTAAGGATGATTTCCTAAATTGAATTAGGTAGAGTTTCCAGTAGAGGTTGCATGAAGCCAGGGAGATGTGAATACTCTGCGCTGTCCCTGTTTGCAGTCTGGGTGGTGTTGTGGAGATGTTTTGTTTTCTGTTTCATTTGCCTGCAGTTAATCTTTTTCAGCTGCCAATGTGATTTAATACACGCAGTTGTCTGCCAGTTGCCTCCTGAGTAGTGAGGCAGAAACTCAAATAAAGCCTCCCTTAAATAAAGCTGGCTAGGAAATACAAGCAGGAACCTTGAATGAAGCATTTGAGGTGCCACACCAAGGAAGCTGTCATGTTAAGCACAGGTTCATTTAGGTACATCTGTGGATCTGCCACTTTATCTTCTTTACACACCTTAAAATAACCAGAAATGTGAGGTACATTGATCGAGCCTAAACCATGGTATTTTTATTTCAAATGGAAATAACTTGAATAAAAGAGTGACATTTGGGGTTGTTTCAGGAGCTTGCTTTAAATTCAGTGCCTTTTGCTGGTGGAGAAGGAGTTTTCTGAAGCTGCAACACAGCAGTGGAGAGTTTGACACTCACTGTGCCATCTGCACTTGCACCAGTGTCTGAGAGAGCTGCAGTGGCTGTGAGGAATGGAGCCTAAAATGAATATATAATGCAGGAACCCAGGAGCAGTGCACAGCTCTGGGCCCATCTGTTTTGATTGTTTTCTCTGCCAGGCAGTGTTTGAGTTGTTATTGGCAATGGATGCTGCTGCAGGTTCAGGATAGGGGAATTCTGTGGAATTCAGTGGGTTCTGCAAGGACTTGTTGCTCAGTGAACCACTGTTGTTTGGTTATTCCAGTGTATTTCAAGGTATTGTTAGACACTCCCTTGCCATTGCCTACCTATTCTGGGTATCAGTTTGTGGAGAAAATGTTGCACCTGCTTTTTGAAACCTTTCCAGAGGATTTTTACAGATGCCATTGTGGAGCAAAAAAAGGGAAATAATGTTGTTGCAAAGCAGCATCTGATCATTCACTTACAAAATATTCACCTTAATAACATTCATCTTCAGTGAAAAGAGAACAAGTTCCTGATTTAGCAGCCTAATTACCAGTGGAAGTTTTAAGCAGCCTGAATTCTACAATATTTGTGAAGATTTCAGCAGTCGTGTAATGAGATGTAATTTTTTTTTTTACAATTGTAGAAAAATAGGTTAGTGTCAGATGTCTGTAAGGATTTTGTTTTCTTGCTTTTTGTGTCTCTCTTTGTGCTTGTTTACCTTGAACTCTCTGATCCAGAAAACCTCTGGTAACGATGGCTGTAAATTCAGTTTTTTACCCTTTTGCTGTGTTGCTCGGGTTGCTCTGTAGGCTCAGGAGCCCTTTGGCTCTTGCTGCCACGTTCAGCTGCAGGGCTGAAATCCTGTCAGATGGATTTAAGAGCATTACATTCAAGCCCAGCCAGACTAAGGCTGTTTCTTTGCAGTAGCTTACGTCTTCCAGTGAGTTCATGTAATACTCTGTAGGAAAACAATGGCTTCCACCTGCCATTCCCCGTGGATTGATTATGGATCCTAACTGCAGTCTTGATTAATTCCCCTTAAAATAATATTTATTATAATGTAGAGGGTCAGTGATGAAGGATAGGTAGGTAACTATGAGCTGTAATAAAAGCTTTAAGGAATGCATTCAGCACAGATAATCTTCACTCAATGTGGGAACAATCAAACTGCATCTTACTGCCAGGACATGAGAAAAGAGATTTTATAGTTTGTAAACAGTGAGAAGGAATTAACAGAGGTTAAGATCTTTCAGTGAAGCAAGGCCCAACTCAGACTGGGCTCTTTGGAATGCTGGCCCTGGGCAGCTGTTGCTTGGTGCTCACTTGGCAGCCTGGTTGCTCCTGGCTGTGGAGAAGAGCCCTCTTTCTGTATTGACAACTTCACATTAGCATTGAATTAAAAAAAAAACCTCTTAAAACCAAATTTAAGGGATTTTTTTAAACACACTTAACTACAATCACTGTACTTACTGGCTCGTGCTCTTTCCAGAGAAACCCATGAGCAAAATTTAAAGTTTTTTGGAATTATTTGATGCAGAAACCTTTCCTCTCATCGCTGTTCTCCTTGCCTTGCTCCAGCAGGCTGGGGAGAGATGCCTGCTGTCCACACCAAGAGCGAAGCTTCCTGGGGAGAGCCCTCCTCCCCTTCTGCTGCAGTTGACAATGGCACTTCGGCGTGGGGGAAGCCCCCCAGCAGCGGGACCGGGTGGGGAGAGAATCCTGCCGAGCCAGCAGGGACCTATGGAAGAACAAACGCTCCAGCTGCTGCCCCAGCACTGTGCAAACCAGGTACACACAGGGCTGCCACTCTCCTGGCAGGGGAGGGGCTAGGAAGGGGTTTGCTTCTGCTTTCTCTGCATTTCAGTCACAGGAGTTTGCTTCTGCCATTTCTGTTTTCTCTGCGTTTCGGTCACAGGCAGCCTTGGTGATTTCATTCTCAAAACTATGTTAGCTGTCATAAGGCCACGCTAATCCAAATACCAGGTTAATTCAAAAATATGAGTATAGGGCATCCATCTGGAAATTTAAAGGAGAGTAGTTTTGTGTGTTTGCAAAGCAGCGTAGCAGAGGTGCAGGAAGCTGTGAAACTGCAGAAGAACGTGACTAGGACTTAAACCCTTGGTGTCTAAAAGAAACCTGTATTGGGATGAGAAGCAGTGGAGAACAGTCAAGATAGAATTGATCCTGGTAGGAAAAGCAACACCTGAGAACCACTCATCACAACAACCTCATGTTGGGGTTGAGTGAGTGGGTGTTTTCTTCAGACATTAAAACTGCTGCCAGGTTCAGGAACATCCTGAACTATTTCCTGCTTCGTGATTCCTCACTCGTGGTGTTTAATAAATATCCTCCATCTCTGAATGTCCTGAGGGCCACTGTGATTGCTTTAGACTACTCTCCTCTTGGCTGTGGAGGTTGCCTAGAGATTCACTCCTGCAAAATACCATAGTGAGATGTAGTTAGAAGTCCCAGAAAACACAAAAGGGTGAGAGCTTTCAAGATGAGTAATCCCAGCTTTAAAGAGAGTAAACAGAATGAAATGGACTGAGGTGACACAGCCTTGTCACTGAATATGAAGCGTTCCCTGCAGCCCACAAGCTCCTTTCACATTCCATTCTTCAAGATGGCAATGAGTGTCTGAGCGTTAATGACTTTGAAATCTGGTTTGTTCGTGGAAGAATGTGGTAGGTAAAATGGTGAGATTCATTGAAAGCAAAATAGCACTTAACAAATGTGTGCTCATACTTTGATTCCTTGTTCCTGGGAGAGTGAGTGGAGTGGCCATGACCACAGATCTTACTGATTCTTGGAAAAGAAGGACTTGCAGTTGCTGGATGTTTTCTTCTCTTGAGTATTTAGAGAACTCCCCTTTTTTTTACTAACTTCAAAGAAGACATTCTTATCGTTTTAATGCCGATTAAGCTATTTGATGAACATCTTTATCTCTTGAAAATACTCACATTAGCACACCTGGATATGGCACAAAAGGCTATTTCTGTAAAATTTGCAGGAAACTGAATAAGATTTTTCTTCTCCCACTTTCCCTCCAGCTTCAAAATCTATGCAAGAAGGCTGGGGCAGTGGTGGGGATGATGTGAATCTCAGTACTAGTCAGTGGGAAGATGAAGAAGGAGATATGTGGAATAATACTGCTTCACAAGAGAGCAGCTCCTCCTGTAACTCCTGGGGGAATGCCCCGAAGAAAGGACTTCAAAAGGTAAGACAAAAATAAAGACACTCTCCAGCAAGAGTGGAATTAATGTAACATTTGTAGAATAAGTTGTCACAAATTTGCTGGTGCATTATACCTGAAATGAAACCTCTGACACCTGAACACAAGCACAGCTTGCCACTACAGTGGTTCAAGTACAGCCTACCTTGTTTCCAGGTATATGGAATGGGAGATCTTTGAATTAGGCATGTCAGATGCTTCGGGAGGTTTGTCGTTGTTGCCTTTGTTTTCTCTAAGTTTTATAAGCTTCCATGTATTCTAAAGAAATGATAATGCATTAACAGAAAGAGGAGAAGGTGTTAAGGGGGCTTTCAGACACTTCCCATGGTGGTGGAAAAACAAACAGTAGTTTGTGATGGAGTTGTTTAACACAAAAAGCTGTTTTCTATTTGTGAGGAAGGTGTGTGTGTGTGTGAGAACAAAGCAAACTTGTGTTAATGCTGCACTCAACCGAGAACGTAGACAATTGTGTGAGGAAATTTTCCATTGCACAGTCTTTATTTCAGGACAAGGCCAGGCTGTAACTTAAAGGAATTGGGAATGCATTTAGCCACTTTGTTTGTTAATCCATTAGCCAAGAGTTAGGCCGGTGATTTGATCAAGTATGGTTGTTTCTTGTACTGTCCGCAGCCCAAAACAAATCCGCGCTTGTCCCTTGGTACTTTCTGGAGAACTGAAAAGAAGAGACTTCTTAAGGATATTGTGATAGAAAAGCTGCACAAAGATCTTTTAAAGGTGTTTATCTAGACGCTCTTGTTTGTTTTTAAGAAAATACACTGAGTAACATTCTTAACTTCAAGGTTGCAAACTTGTTTTTGGGAATGTTTTTCAGGAAGTGTTGTACTATTTCAGCTTTATTTCGTTATATTTTTCTGCCAAGGATTAAAATGAAATACGTAAATTCAAAGGTGGCTTTAATTCAGTGGCCAGCAAATCAAATACTAAATAGTACACTGAGCACCTATTCAGCTGAGATAAATTTTTACACTTTTGGGGGAAGAGAATCGTAGTCGCGTTGCTCGGAGGGTTCTTCAATACTTTCTGAATTAATGTACTAATACATCTTTCAGTAGCATGTGCTATTAATAAAAACCACTTACCATTTCTTTTATGTACATCTCACTACAATGAACGTGGCAACCAGCCCATTAATGGAATCTCCCATTTATTTACTAAGGGCATGAAGACATCTAGCAAGCAGGATGAGGCCTGGATCATGAACCGTCTGATAAAACAGCTCACAGACATGGGCTTCCCTGTGAGTAGTGCTCAGCCAGCACACTGTGCCTTAGCTTTTAGCTTGTACTTCTGACTGTGGCTGTGTCAGACTGTAGCTACACCAAGGTCTTCAGTCTCCAGGCCAGCAAGTAGCTCTGATGTGCATTTAAACACATACTGTGATTTCAGAAATCTGTTGTAAACCTATTCAATGCTCTGAGATGAATTTGGAATATTCTTTCCATTAGGGTATTTATATATTTTGAAGTTCTGTTTTTATAACAACAGGTATTACTTTGAACTGCAGTAATCACCTCCCATTCCTCTTTTTTCATTAAACAGGTAAAATGAGAGTATAGACGGGTTGTTTCTTACAGAAAGTCATATCATTGTGATATTTGAGTTGTTCATGGAATACAGGAAGATGTTTAAACAGAACAATGTGTTTCACCTTGTAGAGCCAGTACTTCCTTGACAAACTGAAATACCTGAATTGTGGGAATTGCTGAAAGCAGAAAAAAACCACACACAGACATTATTTAGGCTGCTGAGTAAACATTAAGCCCAGTATTTAAGATATGTGTCTGCTTTCTCAGGTTACTTTGAAATCACATGGATGTGATTACTTTTCCTCTTAACATAAATTCCTGTTTTTGACAGAGAGAGCCAGCGGAAGAGGCCTTGAAGAGCAACAGTATGAATCTTGATCAGGCCATGAGTAAGTATCTGTGTAAGTAACTTTTTTGTCTTTAAAGCAACACAGGAAACCCTGCATGATTATAAGCATTTGATTATACTCAGACCAATTGGATAATATTTATTTTCTTGCCTTGCTTTTGTAAGCAAGATGAATTTCTCTGAACTGCTGTTGGCAACTTTACTCCCTCTGCCTCACCTCTTCCAATATATTTCCCTTTTCTGTGCAGGTGCTCTGCTGGAAAAGAAGGTGGAAATGGACAAGCGTGGAATGGGAGTGACCGACTATAATGGAATGGTCACCAAACCCCTTGGCTGCCGCCCACCACCAATCTCCAAAGAGTCTTCCATGGACCGCCCCACCTTCCTTGACAAGGTGAGTTCAGCAGCAGGAACAAGTCACAGTGTGCACAGTGTGGAAATGCTGATGATTTTCACTGTCTGCTTAGAAAGCGTAGAAAGAAATGGGATGGATATAGCTTTGTTCCTTTTCTTGTCTTTTTTCAGTCTTGTGGGGGATTCAGTCCTTGTGGAAAGGAGCAGTGATTTGATTCTCACATGGAAATAAAGAATGATCATTCCCAGTTTTACACTTGGAAACTTGATAAGGAATCAGTAACACAGAGGAACTAAAAATGGAAAAAAAAGAGCAAAAAAATTAACCACAGCAATCTGTGAGGGTGCAGTCAGCGACCCTTGCCCAAATTCACAATCAGGCAGGACCAAGGGCAAAATCTTCCAAGAATTAGGCTCTTAATTTATCTTCTTTTGGTTTTGAGCTTTTTAGAAATTTCAGTGAAAGTTCAGTACCTAAATACAAAGGAGGAGTTCAGGTATTTTATTAAGTCTCAGAGCATACAGGCACAGTCATAAATAACTTCTCCAATGAGCTTTCCTTTCTGTGATCACATATGACAAATTTTCCAGCCCTATTTGATAACTGAGGAAAAGTCAGAAGTTTATGTTGTCCAGGATTCAAAGTTACTAAAGAAAAGAATATATGGAAAAGTGCAGCCAAATCTTCAGTAGGAAATGAGATTTAGAGGCTTGACAGAAAATCCTGCAGAAACTTACCAAATCACCTAAGAATCCCCCTGAAAATTACTGATAAGTAAAGAAGAATCTCAGATGTAATTCTGCATTTCACAGGTTATTGACAGGTTCATACAGATGGTGGTGGAGGATTCTGACCACAGAAATCAGTGCTTCTGACAAACTGTGCTGAAACCAATTCATTTTTATTGATAGGTAAAGAAGAATCTCAGAATGTTATTCTGCATTTCACAGGTTATTGAAAGGTTCATACCGATGGTGGTGGAGGATTCTGACCACAGAAATCAGTGCTTCTGACAAACTGTGCTGAAACCAATTCATTTCACACGAGCTGTGTACAGGGTGTGAGGCAGTAATGAAATCCACTCATATAAAGCTCATTCTTTGCCATGGCAGGCTTTAATGAATGTGTTAATTGAAGGCCACCAAAGATGCATGCATGCCAGTTAGCCTTTCCTTTTCTTGGATAATATCTTCAGCAGTAAAATTCTTGCCAGAGAGAGGTGCATTATGTGGAGCATGATGCATAATTCTGGAAACATATGTTAAACACAACTATTGAGAAGGGAGCACTAAAATCATTAATATTCATACAGTAAGTAAAATCTATCAGTCTAGGCATAATCTGTCACAGTGACTTGGCTCTAACAAAGGAAATAATCCCACACTGTATTTGTTAGCTATCACAGTGTTGAGCAACTTGCTAAGTGAATTAAATAAATACAGTTTCTACTCTAAGAACACTGAGTTTTTATTCCTCCAAAGAAATTCTTTCCAGATTTACAGCTCATGCTAGTTAAACAATTCCTCCAAAACCTTTTTGCCCTTTGAGGTACTGTTTCAGGGCCTGAGTCTGGAGCTTTGTTTCTGTTTAGGTCATCCTTGGTGAGTAGCAAGCTCTCCACACAGCTGGACAGAGCACTCCAGCCAGCATTCCTTGGTTTACTTACTGCTTTATCAACTCATCATCCTTTTGTTGGCTTTGCTGAGTCTTCAATAAGTTCTGCGAGGTTCCTCTTCCTGAAGTTGTAGTTTGGGGTGGTGTGCTCCTTGTTGCCACTCTCAGCTCACCTGAACTGAGACACCATCATTTTTCTCTGAACAGCTAAAGCCAGCACTTAATATTTTTTTTGAACTTTTTACATTTGAGGAGGGAAAATTTCCAATCCTGACATTTACTTCTGGACCCAGTGAACTCCCTGTTCTCTCTGTATCAGGAGTGGTCTGTGCAATTCACCATCACCTTTGAGTGTTTGCTTTCTCTGCTTGCTGCAGGTGCTCTTTATTCCATGTCACACCAAGTCAATCTTCAGCACTCGGTGCTTTGTTAATTTATTATTTCTCAGGATGTTATCTTGACCTGTAGCACCACTAAAGGACAAGGGAGAATATCCAGTGGCCTTGAGGGAATAAAGATGCAGCCCTGATACGTGATCTCAACCACATTGTGTCACACTTGGTGGCAGGCATGCTGTGCTTAGGTGTCAGCTTTGTCTGAAGATGTTACCTGGTGCCTTCTGGAGCCATCAGATTTGTAAGAAAAACATGTCAGATTTTCCTGGAAACATCCTTAAAATACCAGAAATAAGCCTAGAAAAGGGATCTTTTTTTCCAAGCATAGAGTTTGGCGTGGGACTGAAATTCTCACCTTGCAAATGAAGTGTCCTTTTCCCCTGCCCTCATAGTCAGTGAGCTCCTTTTCTCTACTGCTGCAAAATCCAGGTCTACAAGCCTTGATGCTTCTTAGCTGCAATCCTGTTCATCCAAAAATCTTCCTTGTTTCTGATTTGAACATAGTGTTTGTTGGGGTTTTTTCAGCCTCATCCTTCACATTCTGAGCCCAGTAATCTCTGGGGACTGTGATTGGTTTTCATCTTTGGGACAATAAGGAGAATATTGTGTTAATATGGAGAAACTTTTTTAGATGTCACAATTAGATAATGATCACAAGGATTTTAAAGTTTTCTTTTAAATTCTTCTTTGCTCTATCTCTGCCACCTGTGATCCAGTGACTGAAACCATGTTCATCACCCCTTGTATGATGAGCACTTCTTTGAGTATTGCATTTCCTCCAGGTTTCTTTTGCCTAATTCCTGTTTGATTTGAAAATAACTTTATTTTAGATGAGATTTTATTACTTTAACTTCCTCTTTTAGGAAAGGGTTTTCTTTTCAGTCTTCTTTTTAAGAAGTCAGTGTGTATTTTCTGCCAGCTACTTCTGTAACTGACTTTACACAAAGCCCTCTGGCAGATTGATCAGCCTCTCATCTGCCTGTTGAGACATTTTGATTCATGAAGTGGCAGTTGTTGGCAGGTGACTGCCAAAGTGTCCAGGCATCCTCTGCTAAATTGTCCATATCTCATAGGACTAAAAACCTTTGAGTAATTCCACTTGCATTCTGTCACATTTGATATGTGAGACTGTTGTGAGGGACTTCCCAAAATCCTAAAAAACTCCAGTGTGGTGCTTTGTGTTAGATAACTGTAGTAGGAAAGACTGCTACCAGTAGGATTTTATGGGTGTGTCAAATCCCCTCAAAAAAGTTAAAAGCAGTGCTGAATTGAGCATTAATGTGATGATTCAATTTTTAATTGAGTAGCCTGAGGAAGAAGTGTAACATAAATTTGTAAGAAAGTCACTGAAGAGGACAGGTTAGGTAGAAAAGATTGTTCTTCAGGAAACAATTATTACATAAAGGATCCTGAGAAATAATGGGTCAGAAACCACTGTGAGCAGTAAAATTGTCCTCTAGTCTGGCTTGAAAATGCTAAAGGCTGCTTTAATTTGACCAACTAAAATACTTCATGTTAAATGAATTGATTTTAGTTCAGTTATAGAGCACAGATCTGTGCAGCACAGTGCAACAAGTTCAAATGAAATAAAATAGAACCAGGTGAATTTGAATAAAATGTTATAAACTCACACAAAGCCATTTGCTGCAATTCAGCCAAGGAACACACTTGTGAAGGAGTCTGGAAATGCAGTGCCTGAGTCTCCAGTGTGGCTTGTCCTTCACCATCCTTGGCTCTGCCTATTTCCAATTTGAGAAAAAAATCATGTCAGTAAGGCAAGACTTGAATAAATTTGGGGGGTGGGGAGGGTTTTTCATGGTCAGTAGGTCTGTTCACATAGGGAACAATGGCATCTGAAGGGGAGAGCAAGCACCAAGCTTGAAATTATTTTCACTTTGAAGGGGGAAGGGTAGAATTGTAAACATGTGTCTGTGATCTGAAGTGAAATCCTTGAACCTGTTACTGTCATGCAAGCTGCAGTTGTTTGTGGAGTGTGACTGATGTCCAGGAGAATGTAAAATATCTCAAGCTGAAAGGCCTTGGGGATATCATTAGAAAATGTCAGTGTCCCCCTCAGGATAGTCAGATAGGATGTCAAGTGTCGCTTTGCCTGATAGTAAAGAAACTTTTCCTTTGCATCAAAGGAGAGCTGTAGAAAATGCATTTTTCAGGATTAATTTAAAACATATAATTCACTGAGCATGCTTGCTGCATTAGCTCATCTGTTTGGGTGTGTGGTAAGCAGACTGGGCTTCTTTTTCAACAAAAAGGGTTCACCAGTATCTCACAGTCTTCTGGGGCATTGAATTTATTGGTTGAAATAAAGCTCCTCACCTCTTTAAAAAGCCTTTCCTTACAAATGATCATACTGCCTGAAAAACAGCAACCCAGCACATTGCAAATTAAAGCTTTTTCTCTCTGCCTGGTTTTTTGGAGCCCTACTTTGTACACAGTGTTATTTGATCATGCTTACCCCAGGCTTCCCAGACATCAAAGCACAGTTTGAGATAGAACTCGGTGCCCCACTGAAACACGAGCAGAGATCTACCTGTTTGATTGGGTGTTCTCTAATTTATTTTATTTTCTGCCTTGCTGTTTGCCCCCCCGTGGGGGCTGCCTCCTGTGCATCAGATCCACGCTCAGCTGTGGTTCCTCACAGCCCAGTTAGCAGAGAGGGCTCCTCCTGCCTTGCTGAAACCTGCCTCCTCCTGGGGATGTTCAGGAAGGCTGCCCAGCTGATATTGTCATTACTGGGTTTGATGGTTTGTGTTCATTGGCTGCCTTGCAGTGTAATGTTTCAGAGTGGGGTATTAATAACTCAGTGCTATGTGAATGTTAAAAGAGGCTCGTGTGTCTCACTTAGGAAAGGGGATTCATGCAAAAATGCGTTTTTAAGAGCAGAGCTATGATGTGGAACCAAATCCAGACTGGTATCAAACAAGCTGATGTGGCCTTTCCCAAGTTTTGGGTTTGTTAAAGTGCTGGATTATGTCTGGAGTTTTCCAGACAGACAGAGGGCTTCCCTGAAATCTGCTTCCACCTTTAGTCTGGTGGAGAAGAAAGGAGAAAACCTAAGTGGGGAGGAGGCAATGGCCACATGGTAGCTCTGCAATCAGCTGCTAAAATCCTTCCTTTCCTCTGGAAAGCTGGGTGAGGGTGATTGTGCATTTTTTGAATTAAGTACAACAAAGTTACCAAAACCAGTACCTTAACCCTGTTTCTCTTTTTCTTCTCCCTTCACTCCATGCTTTCCATTCCCTGTTATTCATCTCTTTTTTTTTATATATCTCTTTTTACTCATCCACACCCTTGTCTGTCTCCACGGGCCTCTGCTTTGTGCTGTGGGCTCCTGGCACCGCACACAGCTCACCCTTTCTTTCTCCAATCAGGATGGCGGCCTAGTGGAAGAGCCCACTACTTCACCATTTTTGCCTTCACCAAGCCTGAAGCTCCCCCTTTCAAACAGTGCACTCCCTAATCAGACCCTGGGCGGGATTGCCTCAGGGCTGGGCATGCAAAACTTGAATTCTTCTAGACAGGTAAGGCTGTTGGGGGAGATCCTGAGGGGAATTTGGCTCTCTTGGAGTAGCTGCTAGTGCCTGTCAGCCTCTTCCCCAGGAAAAATGGGTTTAAACTGGAGGTACAACAGCTTTGTCCATGTGAAATATCAGAGGAGGAGCTGCCTGCTGTGTAAATGTTTCATCTTACAGGACATCAAAAACTGTAGTTGTCATTAGCCTGCTGATGACACATATCCATCCAGAAGGGACTGTAGTGTTGTGGATTTACACCCTGAACCCTGGTGTGGCTCTGCCTTCATTGATGGAAAATGCCTTTTTTTGAGGCATTGCTAATTGTCCCAGACTGTAAGGCAGTGAGATAGCTCTAATTCATCTTTCCTGGCTGGAATATGTATTCTGAATATTCTGTGATGTGATGGGGGCTTTTTTATTCCTGCTGCAAGCATCCAGGCATCTCATAGTTTTAACAGGTTGCAAGAAAGAACCTGGGCTTCCAGCACCTGGGTCAGGTAGGGCGTTGAGTTAAGGGGGTGTTTTGGCCCCTGTGTAGAACAGGTGAGAGGGAAAGAAAAGGAGAGGAGATGAAGGGGGTGATAACTGCTAACCACCATGAGAGTGAGAAGCCATTAAGTACTGTTGATTATGACAAGGTTATTTTTGCCATCACACTGAAGTCCCAGCAAAGATATGAAATAACAACACAGAATAACTTCATCATTCTGTCGTAGCTCTTTATTATGTATATTCTTTTAAAGTCAGTTTTCTTAAGGCAATCCAGCACTTACAGCCCATTAAGCACATCTTTCCAAAGCAGTCTCCACTAATAGCATGTCCATTATCAGTAGCTTTGTAAAATGACTAAGTAAAAAAACTGCTTAGCCAGCTGGAGGATGGGGTTACTGTGAGTTTAATGCCTCCATTCTCCTGTCCCTTGCTATACAGATACAAACATTTTTGGCAAGTACTTTTGATTGTTCATCTTGTGACCCTCTAGAGTCCTGCATCCTTATAAAAGCCATCTTCAACTTCAGCTGCCTTTTGTTCAGGCAACTGTACAAAGTTTTGGGGGTTTGGGATGTTGGGTACACGGCAATCTTTGCCTTGCCCAATTCTAAACTTTGGATGTGCTGGTCTCTTGATTCCTGCCTGTCACAATCACCAAGAACAAAGCCTGCAGAGACAAGTAGCACCCAGGTGCTGTGCAGAGTGGTGTCACTAAGTGCCTGTGTCACTGTTGTCCTGCTGCAGATACCGAGTGGCAATCTGGGTATGTTTGGCAATAGCGGAGCAGCACAAGCCAGGACCATGCAACAGCCGCAGCAACCGCCAGTGCAACCTCTTAATTCATCCCAGCCTAGTCTTCGTGCTCAAGTGCCTCAGTTTCTATCCCCTCAGGTCAGACAACACCTCACTCAATGTTTTCCCTTTCCCTGGAACTCTTCCCATGTGCTCTGTCATGCTCCTGAGGCTCTCTGCCTGGCTGTGTCTGTGTTATTTGTTTGTTTCCTAGGCACGAGGATGTGGCATGGCTGAGGTGTTCTCACATGCATGTCATGTAATGAGCATGTTCTCATGCTCCTTTTTGCACAGTGGTGTTCCTGAGGCGTTTGTGCTCATCTCATTTTTTATAAATGAACACTTGAGTACGGTTATTATGATTGTATTAGAGCCTCTTGCTAATTTTTTGATAGTTCATGGTGATAACAACATTTTCCAGCTGATGTGACTCTTATTAATGGCTCACACAGTTGCCACTGTTAGAAGTAAATGTACAATGTTTAACACTCCTCTCTCCTTTAGGTTCAAGCACAGCTTTTGCAGTTTGCAGCAAAAAACATTGGTCTCAGCCCTGCACAGTTAACCTCGCCAATTAATAATCCTCAGCATATGACGATGTTGAACCAGCTCTATCAGCTGCAGCTGGTAAGTTAAAAGACATGGCAGATAAGCTCTAAATCAGAATTGAAAGCATGAAGATAAAATAGGAGAATGACTAAATTTTTAAATGACATGACAGATCTTCAAAACAATCAGCTGCTGATTTCTTTGGTAAAGTTTCTTTTTAAAGAAACACAGTAATTTTTTTTTTTGCCTCGGGCTTTATAAATAGTCATTTGTGGAATAATTATCCTTTACAGCTGATCAGTGGAACTAAAAATCAGCTGTCTTCCTACTGGTGTGAATAACACAGTGTGTTCTCAAACAGCCCTGGCCTGGGTGTTACATGGCAGTGGACAGATTAAACTGGACATGTGTCACAACAGAACAAGAGAAATCTTGGCCGTGCTGGTCACCTGAGTTACCTGCAGAACTTCTTCACTTGCCTCACTGAAAAATGAAGTGTGGGGTGAATTTCCTTTAATTAATGGAGTGTATATTAAACATGTCATGTGATAAGAACTGCTTACTTCTGTGTACTTTTGCTGTGTTTGAAAAGGTTACATCTCTGGTTTTAATGCATATGAAAATACTTCATTGGATACTGTGAACTCAATATTGGCCAGGGTTAAACATAAAATTAGAGATGACAGATTAGTTCAGTTGCTGATCTCAGTGTGCTAGTCCAACTCTTTTATTCAGTGTTTGATACTATTACTAATTTCTGATTATTTTTCTCTAGTTTTGAGGAGCACAACATTATTCTCATAATAATTGAACAGTACCCAACTACTTGAAAAATACCTGTACAGAATTTCTTTGGATTTTGAATTCATCAAAATGTTGATGAATTCATCAAAGTGTTTCAGAGAAACTTCCCTTGCAAAAGAATTTGCTGCTGAGCCAGCTACTTGAAAATTGTGGATTTTTCCATGAATAAAGCAGCACAAGTGATTTAACTGAAAGTGTTGGCAGAACTCAAAATGGCCAAACCAAAACCAACAATCAGTATTTATACTATTTGTATAATATCATAAACTTCTATTTTAATTTTTACTTTGTGTTAGTTATTTCAGAAAAAAAGTAGGTTCCTATCTTTAATGACCATTTTATGCCATGTGGACTTATTAGTTGTTTTTTTTTAGAAAAATGAACACGGGACTTAAATAAATGCATTATAAAATGCAGGATTATTACTGTTGCTGCATGGAGTGTTTTCAGAGCACTGCTGAGCTTGCTGAGTGTGCTGTGTCTGACTGTCCCTGTCCCCACAGGCGTACCAACGTTTACAAATCCAGCAGCAGATGTTACAGGCTCAGCGTAACGTTTCCGGACCCATGAGACAACAGGAGCAGCAAGTAGGTGTCCCTGCCAGCCCAATCTCTGCTTTAGGGGTTGGTTTCAGTAGCTTGGAGAGGCTCAGTGATATTACAGCAAAGCAGCTAAAGCATCCTTAAATCAGTGCTGGGCTGGGAAGGTGCTGAGTAAAAATAAAATAAAAAATAAAAAAGCTGATGCACAGCCTTGCTGGAGGAAAGCTCTTCAGCCCTTTACACAGGCAGTTTGTCTTGGTAAGGAGATGCAGTGTGTTGTTTTCTGCAGAGAAATGCAGTGTGTTTCTGTGCATTGCCCACTGACAGGTGTTTGTTGGCTCTCTCCCTGCAGGTTGCACGTACAATCAATAACATGCAGCAGCAGATCCAGCAGCACCAGCGCCAGCTGGCCCAGGCCCTGCTCATGAAGCAGCAGCCTCCCCCTCCACATCTATCTTTGCACCCCTCTGCAGGCAAATCAGCCATGGATAGCTTTTCACCCCATCCCCAGGCTCCCGGCCTTCCTGACCTGCAGACCAAAGAGCAACAGTCTTCACCGAACACCTTTGCTCCTTACCCTCTTGGTGAGTGTGCTCCTGCAGCAGCTCCACGCAGGAGCCCATCTCCTCCATTCACAGCTCAGTGTTCTGCTCCACACTGTAACAAATACACAGATAGATATAATGATAGATAGATAGATAGATAGATAGATAGATAGATAGATAGATAGATAGATGGATAGATAGATAGATAGATAGATAGATAGATAGATCTCCTCCATTCACAGCTCAGTGTTCTGCTCCACACTGTAACAAATACATAGATAGATATAATGATAGATAGATAGATAGATAGATAGATAGATAGATAGATATGGATATAGATATTTATATATCTATATATATATTTCTATATCTATCTATCTAGGTAGATAGATATAGATAGATATATATGTAGATATACATATAGTATATATAGATATATATTTATATGTAGATATAGATACATAGATATTGATATATAGAGCTAGAGATATAGATAGATAGATATAAATATATCTAGATACAGATATATCGAGAGAGGGAGAGAAATATATATATAAATATTAAAATATATATATAAAAATAAAAATAAATATATATATATATATGTTTGTTTGGCACCAAAATCACAGAACAAAATCATGCCTATGTGGTAGCTCTACCTACTCACCTTTATTCTGCCTACAAATATCAGAACAAATTTGCCTTCTTCTTCTTCTATTTATTATTATTATTAGTAGTAGTAGTAGTAGTAGTAGTTTTAACTGCTTATGTATGTTGCTGTTTATGAACTAAATATAAACAGCGTCGTGTTGTAAAATACACAAATGTATTGATAAACAGGAATATCATCTGGGAAAAAGTTGTGCAAAGTCATCTTTGTGCTGTAATCAGCACTGGTGAGGCATCAGTTTTGGTCAATGTATTTCAAGAAATACGTGGATCAGTGTGAAGGAATGCAGAAAGATTGTAGTGGAGGTGATTAAACAGTCCAAAAACACAACTGGTAAGGAAAAAGTGGAATCCTCTGCTCAGTAGTCTAAAGAGAAGATTTAAGAGACATGCAAGAATCTTCAAAAATGTAAAGGAGATCTAGGAAGACGTTTTCTTGCATTTCCAAATGCAAGAGATAATAAACTTTAGTTGCATAAAAGAAGATCTAATTAGACATTAAGGATCACTTAAGCAGAGTAGAGTACTGGAATAAATTATCCAGGAAGTTCCTGAAATCTTCACCAGCATTTTGTGGTAGGTTAGACAGAGATCTGTCAGTATGATTGAAGTCAAAATGATTGATTGGGCCTGGATACAGAGGGAACAGAGCAACCTTTCAGACCTGTTTGCTGTGTGATTGTTTGATGTATGCTACAGACTTCCTTTCTGACATAAAGGAATTAATTTAATCTCTTTGTGACTCTCTTTATGCTGAATACAATAGTATTGCCAAGCTTTATCTGCCATGCAGCAGTTAAGAAGGTAATTCTGACTGCTCTGGTGAGCTGTTGTGGCTGGCAGCATCAGAAGGCAAAAAAAAAAATTGTGAATTAAAGGCCTAAGTCTGAGAGGTTCTTATGATAGCTCAGCTTTCTGTGATCTGCTAAGGATTATATATCAAGAAATACCCAGATTCATGTCACAGAAGCATTTCAAAATTATTCCCTTAATAACAGTGAGCAATTCTGTTCTGTGTATACAAAATAGAAACCAGTTAGTGCAGAACCTGCTATGAAAAACAGCAGCTGTTTGTCTGACCTTTAATTGGTTCCTTTCTGGGGGATTTTTAGCAAAACAAAGTGGCAGACATCGTGGTGGGTGCTGGGGAGACATTAGGAAGATTTTGGCTTAGCCATGGAATGGTGCAGACTGGTTTAAATGCAACATTCCAGTGCATTCTTCCAAGACAAGTGAAGAGACTGCAATAGAAACACTGACAGCTTTAAAATATTATCCCTACATCTTGTTTCCCACCCCTTTTAACAAGGTTTTAACTTTTTCTGAATTCATGGGAGTTTTGTTGGTGTTCCATAAAACAAAAATTCTTGAAAATGTGAATTAAAAATGCCACACATGCATACAGATACCTGAAAATCAATATTGAGTAATTCCTGTGGCTGGATTTCAAACCCAGCTTTTGAATCTCTCAGTGTATGATGGATATCTAAGGATCTCTCTCCCTCTCCAGCTGGACTGAACCCGAACATGAATGTAAACAACATGGACATTACTGGTGGTTTGTCAGTGAAGGACACTTCTCAGTCCCAGTCTCGCCTTCCTCAGTGGACACACCCCAACTCAATGGATAATCTGTCTAGTGCTGCTTCTTCTCTTGACCAGAACTCCAGCAAGCACGGTAATGTCCCCTGGCACCCCCTGCCAGCCTGGCTTTTGGTGACTCCAGATTTATCTTGTGTTCCTTTTTTTGTGTAAGTGCTCACAAATGGTTGGTACTGAGCACCTCTGAGCCCATGAGATCTTATAGATTTCTGCAATGAAGGGCTTGCAGCTGTCACTCCCTGATGCAGTGTAGGAATGTATTTTTCATGTGTTGAATTTTGTTGCTGAGAACATGGAGTTCAAGTAAAACAAGCTTTTAGTGTTGGCAAAACAAGTCCCACAATCTTCCCCTTCTTCCAGACCTGCATACTTTCAATCCAAAAAAACTTTACATTGGCTTTCTCCCACAATTTTTCCAGTATCATCAACCTTTCCCTGTATAAAAAGTATATGATGGATTACATAGTTACTCAGCCTAGAGTTAGGGGCAAAAACCTCTTCCTTTTCTAGAAGTGACCTTTATCCCTAATGCCTCCAGTATCCTGAGCCAGTTTTCCTTTATTTCCTGTCTCAAATTTATTCTGTTAGAACATGGGGTTTCGTTAACTTTATTATATCCTGGATTTTATTCTGAGCAGCATGAATTACTTCTTTTACATCAGTTTTTTATTCTGCAAGTAGCTGCACTGCTGATGCCAAATTGTTGTTTGATAGTTTGTAGGAACATGAGAACAGCCATTTCAAATCATCCACCCTGTCAGCACTGAATGCCTAGGGAAGGATGAGCCGAGGGATATTCCTTGGTATGCTGCCTCAGCAAGTTCCTATTTCCCAACAGTGTGATGATTTGAATTACTTAGTCTCTTTTTGGAAGGAATTGAATGCAGAGTTCTTTAACTTGAGTGTCTAGATTGTACCAGCAGTGTGTCTCTCAGCTGTAGTCCCTGCTAAGGCCTCAGATGCCATTAAGCTTGGCTTTCTGTACATTTTGGTTTTCGTTTTACCTTTGTAATACAGAAAGAAAAAAAAAATCAAATAATAACAAAATATATCCTGCTGAAATTCCAAGCCCACAACCCCTGTGACTCCTTGCAGGTGCTATCCCTGGAGGTTTGAGCATTGGTCCTCCGGGAAAGTCCTCCCTCGATGACTCCTACGGCCGCTATGATCTGATGCAGAACAGTGAGTCTCCTGCCAGCCCACCCGTAGCTGTTCCTCACAGCTGGTCACGTGCCAAATCTGATAGTGATAAGATTTCCAATGGCTCCAGCATCAACTGGCCACCAGGTAACTCAATCCAAAGCCTGTCACCCTGATTTTTAAAGTTTTTCTAAGCCTTCTGATGTTTACATTCTTGTAACGAACTTTCTCATGCACTTTCTGTAAACAACTTATTGTTTTGCATTCTTTTATGGACGAAAAGAAATTTGATGGACTGTTGGTTTGTCCAATGTCATTGGAGAGGTGGCACTGTCACCCTCCAATCCAGTGTCACTTCTGGAAATCTATAAATGTTGGAGTCAGAAATGAAAAGTGCCTTTTTGCCTTGGGAGAGCTACGTGTCTGCGTCGTGTTATTTCATGTGTTGTAGTGACACAAAGCCTTGCTGTTGGGCTGGTGTCGCTCAAAAACATTCTTGAATCTTGATGCTCAGGAGCTGTGGAGAATTCCAACCTCCCACACTTCCCTTTTTATTGTGTTGGAAACAGAGTTTCACCCAGGAGTGCCATGGAAAGGACTGCAGAACATTGATCCTGAAAATGACCCCGATGTTACTCCTGGCAGTGTCCCAACTGGGCCCACCATAAACACCACGATACAGGATGTGAATCGCTATCTGCTCAAGAGTGGAGGTAACCAACAAACTGCTTCCACATCTCTGCATAATTTCTTTTCCCTTCCAAAAAAGGGTTGGCCTCTTTTGTTACAGATATAACATATTTTTTGCATGTGATCCTAATGTAATAATGCTTCTGCTCAGTACTGTCACTGAATATCCAGAAATAATTGTTTAAAAAGAAGGGATTAAGAAATTTCTTGTTTTCCATGGGAACGTAAATACTTTTATATTGGAAAAGGCTGTGAGATGTAATTTAAACTTCTGTGGTCACTGGAAGTTTTTCTGACCTGTATCACAAGGTTTTGAACAATATTTTGCTCTCCACACTGCCCACCCTCCTCCGTACTTGGTGAAATTCTCAGAAGACTCAATACAAAGTTCCACAGTTGTTGCTGAGACAGCAGGCTTCTGCTACACTAATTAACTGTAGCTTTGTTAGAAGATCAATAAGCAAAATAAATTAGAACTGGTTTATCTCCAAAACCATAAAAGAAAAAAAATTGAGAATTGACTAGTAAACTAGTATTTCCCAGTGCTATTTCCATTCCTTTTGTCTTGGCAGTGCTTACTTCAGAATAAAAAGGGAATTCTATAAAACAAGAAAGCATTGGGACTGTGCTACTTATTAGCTACATGTGCTGGAAGTTGATCAAGGGAAAGGTGGCTTGGTTAATTGTGATCTGAGTGCCAAAATAGCAAAGTTATCTGCACTCTGTCAGAGCACTGCAGTTGGCACAGGAATAATATAACCAGGCTGTCCTGAAGGACCTGTCAGGAATAAAATATGGGGTTTGTTTTAACAGTTACATCTGTGATACCAGCACAGATTGTGACCCTCTTGAAGTGGGGGTGCAGCTCTGGGATTGTTACCTCAGGTAAGGGATGTGAAACATGAGGGAAAGGAATGCAGAGTGTTGATTGCCTGCAGTGATTTTGGTTGTCTCTTAGCAAGAAGCAGCCTTTCTTTCAGCTCAAACATGAAGTATTTGGGTAATGAGTAAGGTTGAATTAACTTGAATGACTCCAAAGTGCTCACAAGGAGACGGGCAGGTTTGAAGTTATAAAAAGAAAAGTTGTAAAATGTTTAATTCAGTGACACTTCAAATAGAGTGCACCCAGGAAATACTGTTCAGGCCAGAAGCCTAAACCTACAGAGCTCTACCTGTAAAATCAGATGATATCCACTACAGGTCTTGCTGCTGTAGAGAAAGAACATGAGCTCTGTTGGTGCATAATCTGCCTGGGGAATAAAGAAATAACTCCTCTCCTTAGAAAGGTCAGCAGAGATGGTCTTAGCAGAAGTAAACAGGCCCTCAAGAGGTCAGACCTTCTGAAAAGCAGTGCCTGTGGGGGTCAGTGTGTGCTTCTTTTCCTCATTAGCTTTTTAGCTTGGTAATAATAGAATTTTAATAAAAAACTATAGTTGCAGAATCTGTTTCTCTATGCTTGTATAAGTGCAGCCTGAAGCACAGAGCTTGTGCTGACAGACAGAGCTGCTCCCCAGGTAAAGGGTCAGGCTGTGGGGTGTGCTGTCCTTACCCTCTGCACTTAAAAGCAGGTCAGACTTAATCTTTTGGGTCCATTTTTGCTTTGCCCTGTTTGCTAGTGAATCTTTGGACGGTCAGCTCCTATGAGCTAAAAGTTGTAGCCACAAGGAATCAGGACCAGTTTCAGCTCTGTGGGCCTTTGAATCTGCTATAATTCCATAGTTCCTGCCTGGGGAATAGATTATTTCCAGACAGGGTCTGATAGAGAGTTCTGTTGCCTTAAACTGGTGTCTGTGTCAGTGTCCCTTGGAGCACAGGGAGTCTGGTTAAGGTGAAGTTTGGTTGGTTGCTGTTCCAACTGAAAACAAAGCCTGTGTTTTTATTGAGCTGTGAGGGATGAGATTGTCCTTTTGCTTTCTCCCTTCTACCTGAACACAGTGCTCTTTGCTACAGAGCTCACCTATTTTTATTAGTCAGTTAAAGATGGTTCAGTATCAGAGCCCATCTCTGTGTGTCAGGAATGATAAGTCACCCAGGATACACGCTTGATTTTGTTGGTGGCTAGAGAGAATACTTCCAGCTCCCCTGATCTTTGCAATGAAGATTTTTGATTTTATGTTCAGTTTCTTTCATTTGCTGCCAGTAAGGAAATTGTATGTGTGCTTAGATAGATGCTCAGATTGTAAATGATTTACTGAGGTGGTTTTGTGCTATTTCATTTATAATATCAGTTTGAGAGGAGATTGCTGAAATATATCTTTGCTTTTACTGAAAGTCTGCAAAAATTTAAAGATACTTGTGGGCATTAGGATGTAGGGGAAGTGTTTACCTTGAGTAATTTAGGATAGATCACCCGTGGTAAGAGGTTAGTTTATCATACACATCTCTGCTCATCTACAGTTGCCATTGCCCAAGTCAGCTGGCAGAGGACATTTATAAATGAAGCCTGTTCCTCTGAGACTAAACACCTTAACACTGACTTTCTGAGTCATGTATCTTAAAGGAAATGCAGAATTTACCTTCTGCACTAGAATTGTTCCTGTGCCAGCTTTCTTCTCTTTCCTCCTAAAGACTTCTGCCTCACTTTATCGTGCTTCTAGCAACATTTCATTCTAGACTTCAGAGACCAGGCTAATTAAGGAGAATGCCTTGCATGGTTTGTATTTGCACATAACAGATTTGCTTATGTCACACCAAACATCATTATGCCCATCTTTCTTAGTTGCTTCTCTGCTGGTTCTGCAGGGTCATCCCCAACATCATCTCAGAATGCCACGCTGCCTTCATCGAGTGCCTGGCCGCTTAGTGCCTCCGGCTACAGTAGCTCTTTCAGCAGCATTGCATCTGCACCTAGCATTGCAGGTACGGCCTTTCTGCTTCCACAGCTTCTGCATTCCCAGGAAAAGGCCCTAGGGAGTGCTCTGCCCGTGCTTGCAGGAGTGCTGCCCCAGGCAGAAGTGTCCCTGGAGCCCTGTGCTAGGTGGCAGCTCTCCTGGCAGCTCTGCGGTGGGGAGTGGTGGATGGTGAGCCTGGGATTGTGCTGAGGAAAAAATGGATTTATTCCACTTGGTGTCACTCTGGCATCGAGATCTTTGAGGGGGAGGAACACTGCCCAGGGCCTCAGCAGGAATAAACCCTTCCAGGAAGAGCTGATGTGAATTTTTGTAAAAGAACTCACTGTTAAAACAGTGAAACACCTTCAGCTCAGAAAAGGCTTCAGTAGTGCCTCCAAGGGGTGCTTTTTGCATGGCTCTGGGGGGTTGGGTTGGGGCTCTTTAGTGTATTTTAATAGTCAAGCCAAAGCCTGATGCTCCCCTATATGGCTGAGCTAAAACATTACCCCATTTACTTTACTGAGCTCTAAATTCTGGAACTTCTTTTTGCAAAACATGGAAACTTTGCATGCAAACCAGCTACCTAAATATGCAGTTTGTCCCGTTCTAGAATTGTGTTGGGCTGTATAGATGGATTAGATAAGGAAATGCTGATCCACTGAAAGCCCCCCACTTCTCTGAGGGTGCAGCCTCTGGGTCAGGCTGCAGAATGCAAAACAAAAAGGAATAATTTGGGATATTTTCCTCCAGTGAAAGGAAAAGAAAGGAGTGACTTGCTTTTCTTTATCTGCCATGCTTTTCTGCTTTTTTTGCTGCCTTTTTTTGTTGTTGTTGTTTTTGCAGTATCATCTAATGTTTGTGTTACCCCATGAGAAGAAGTGACATAGCAACACCTGGCCTGTGGTGCTGTGCCTGTCTTGGGTGCCCATCACAGGCTGGGCTGCTCTGAGCTCTCAAACTCAGACTTCCTCCTCTCCTCTCACCATTTTACACTCATTAATGTCCTCATTGTCATTGTCAAAATGTTTTTGTTGCTACAGTTTGCCAGAAGATGGGAGAGTGGTTGTCCTTTCACTTAAATTGTTATGATTCAATATGAAATAATTGAGTTAAACGATTTAGATAAATGGAGGCAATTTGGGGAATGTGTGTGCATGTAACTGAGTCTGGGATTTTGCAACTGGTAAATTTGGCTTTGGGACTCATAGAATTACTCATTGCCTGCCTGAAGTCTTAAAGCACTGAAACTTAAATCTGCCAGTTCTAGTTTTATAAAAATTCACAAGCTCTTTGCATCTTGGAATTTATCAGACCAAATATTTTCTTATTCTCTGCAATCAGCATTAAAACATTAGGGCAGCACAGTCACAGCATCATTTGCTGGGGCAGGAGATGCAGGATTGTGTCCCTTTCAGCCCATTCCAGCCCTCCATGTGCCAGGGCTGGGAGCAGCAGGACTGGGCTGTGACAGGGAAATTTGGCTCTGATTGCACAGCACATGTTGGTATCAGAGGAAAGGCTAAAGGTGAATAAAGATTTGTTTTCTTATCCATTATTTAAATCAATCCAGTCTGCCCCTCTGAATGCTGCAATGTGTCTGCTGTTCTTGGGTTTGTGTTATTTTATAAAACTTTGAATTGGCAGTTACAGCAGTAAGAGTTTGAAAACTGATCAGGGAAAGAGCAAGCAACAGCAGAAAGTTACAAAGACTGAAGGGTTGTGGTGTGGTCTGATCTTCTGAAGACTTAGTTTTTCTCAAAGATACTTGGAAAAATAGTAGAGGTTACTTCAAATATTCAGAAATAAAGTTTTTGTGGGTCTTTGATCTTTAGAATTTTAATAATGCATCAGAAGAACATATGGATATACTGAATTCTTTATATTAGGTAAAATGAGTTGTGCAAGAAAAAGTGTTTAAGTCCTGTTAAACCTTTGAGCGAGACAGTCTTGAAGTGTTTCATTATAATTTGGGTGAAATCAAATTTCAAATACCTACGTCCATTTTCTGGACTTCTTTCCATGTATCATCTTTTACAAGAAAACAAAACAATAGATTTTCAAAAGGGAACTTGCATGTAGCAGGTAGTGTGAGGTTCACTAAACACAAAAGTACTGAAAATTGTGAACAGTGGTTTAAGCAGGTTCAAATGTAGGATTATTTCAGTATATTTAATATAGGATGTATAGCAGTGGGTGGTACAGAAAGTTTTCTTTTCCTCCTGAGAAGCTGGGAGGATGCAGCCCACGATGCCCATTAGTGAAGAACCCAACTGTACTGTTTTTCTCTTGCAGGTAAACTGTCAGACATCAAGTCCACGTGGTCCTCTGGCCCAATCTCTCACACCCAAGCCTCTCTGTCCCACGAACTCTGGAAGGTACCCAGAAACACTACAGCTCCAACCAGACCTCCTCCAGGCTTAACCAACACCAAGCCATCCTCCACGTGGGGTGCCAGTCCCCTGGGCTGGACCAGCTCTTACTCCTCTGGTACTCACAGCTCTCTTTTCTGCCTTCTTTTCAGCATTGTTTGCTCCTGCTCTGCCTGTGGGGCTCCAGAAAGCAGAGCTTTAACACAGCTGGAGTGTTCTGTGCTGGGGGTGCATCTCCTGGCTCTTTATTTCACTTTGAACAAGTTGTAAATGAAGCATCTTTCAGCTGGTCATGGTAGTGATTTCACATAGGAATTGCCCAATTTCTTCAACTCCCAACTAGGATTTTTTCCCTTAATTTCTAAAAATGTCTTTCAAACATGTGTCCTGTTCTGTGGTGTGATCTAAGACTCCCAGAGGAGCCTGTGGAATTTAATATGGAACACATGGATGTGAAGCATTTAGGACCTGATGGCATTACAGGGCCCTCAGGGAATGGCTGAATTTTTTCATGCTGGCCCCTTTTTTAATATGCCTTTGTTTGCTTTAATACAAATATGAGAAGCCATGGATCTGGCTAAATGTATATATCTGTATTTAGATATCTGTATTGATATAAACATAGATGTATGTGCAGATATTACTTCTATTTTATAAAGCTGTTTTAATAATCTGCTTACACTAAGTTGAGAATTAAATATTCTTCCCTCTTCCTGCCATTTATTTTGAATATTTCTTCACCAAACCCCCACCTGGAAGGGCAGATAAAGCTGCTCCCAGGATTCTCTCTGGAGCACCCACAGGATGCACTGTGATTCTCAAATGCCACTCCTAAATATCAAGCTTGTACAGCTTCTTCCTGTAAAGCACCAGGCTGAGGTGGTTAGGGCAGGTTTTTTTTTTTTTTGTTATGTCCTTGTATCTTCAATCAGAACATTGTCAGTGTAGAAATACCTGTTTTGAATAAGTCATACACATTAATCTGTCATTGGCAAGAGAGCAGAGTGCTGCAGTGCTATAAAAATCTTTATTAGCAGGCAGCAATCTGAGCTTGGACATCAGAACTGCTTTTAAAATGTGTCTTCCAGATTAGTTCTAATGCATCCTGAGGATGCAGTTTGTGGCAGTGCCATACCTGCATCTGTTAGCTCCCTAATAGTTACTGTGGGAGTATGAAAAATGCCACAGATCTGGGAAATGTAACACAAGCAGCTTTTCATTCTGCAGCCTTTCCTTCCAAGAGAGGCAGTAAATCAAGATGTGAGGAAACTGCTGCAGGATTTGTTTTCAGCAGCACTGAGGCTTGTTAGTGTGTTGTGATTCCAGATAAATTTGCCTGTAAGGTGCTCTCCAGAGACTGTGCTCAAATGTTTTGTTGTGGGATTTGTGTTGCAGGTTCTGCATGGAGTACTGACAGCTCAGGGAGAACAAGCAGCTGGCTGGTTCTTCGGAACCTCACCCCCCAGGTAACTGCAACTGTACAAAACTGCCCAGGAAAAAACACCTGAATCTAAGAGATGATGAGAACAACACTTAGCAGCCGTGGCCATTTGATTCATTTGAAAGAAGAATAATTATTCTGCATTTATTACAAGTATCTGTCTTCTGCAGGGAATTTGTTAAGTGTTCAAAGTGCTGTCAAATCAAGAGTGAACTTTCAAGCCTGTAATTAGTCATTCAGTGGGCACCATTTCAAGTTTGGAGGTGAATGATGTGGTAAAGCACAGACAGAGATGTAAAATCTGATTTTCCTGTGGGTTTTTTGGGTTCCTCTCACATGTCTGTCACATCCTCTACTTGTCCTTCACGGTGTCATTCCAAAGGCAGAACATAAGTCACAAAGCCTTGGATGCAGACATCCAAATTAATCTTGGGAAAATTTAATTACATTTATGTAGTGTGTTTTCCCTTTAACTTATTTCTGGATTTCTGTGGACATCTGATGATAAATATAATTTATATAACCTAAATTGAGAAAATTCATGCTCTGGACTGTAGGAAATTCTTTAGAAGACAGGATATCTCCCTCAATGAAGAGAGCAATAAGTGTGTAATTAAGTACTTTCCTTTCACTTGTACTCACTCTTTAGCTTTTAAGCACTTGTTAATTAAGCATTTAAGGTAAGATGACAATACCACAGGTAACCTGTTGGAACCCTGGATGCTAAGAATTTTAAACTTCCTGTACTAAAAGGGCACAAATCCACAAGAAAATACTATATTTGACCTGAGGCCATAAAAAAAGCCTCCAAAATTAATTAATTGCACTGTGATTATGGATGTGTAGTTTAATTAGAAGTGTGTAATATCACAGGATAAAAACCATAAAGTTTTAAAATATAGCAATATATAAAAAACAAAATAGAAGTTTTAGGATAATAACTAATCCTTCTTCTTCACCTTCTCCATAGGTTTGGGTAATTAGACAGAAAAGTCTGCATTGCGGAATTTGAAGGATTAGTTATTGAGTTAAAAGTAAAAATAATTTAAATATAATTTCTTAATGAGATAATTTAACCTTAAAAAACCTTATCTAGAAAAATAATTAACCATTTTGCAAGTTACTAGTAAAATACTATAGCACTCACAACTTACAATATGGATAAAAACCATCAAACACCTAAGTCTGAACACAAAACACATCCTCAAACCCTTCAACCCCAACCTTAAGAGAAGCAAAGGAGGCCAGGAACCAGCAGTAACGTGGCTGCTCTTCCCTTCCCTTCCCTTCCCTTCCCTTCCCTTTCCCTTTCCCTTTCCCTTTCCCTTTCCCTTTCCCGATGGCTCCACGCTGCGCACGCTGTGCCTGCAGCACGGCCCTCTCATCACATTCCACCTGAACCTGACCCAAGGCAACGCCGTGGTCCGATACAGCTCCAAGGAGGAGGCAGCCAAGGCCCAGAAGTCTCTGCACATGTACGTTCCCTCTTTCTTTTGTACAAAGCTAGCTCTAGCTCAGGAAAGATTTCTTAGGTGTAACCGATCACTAGTTACTGCAATTTAATTTTTAAGATTACCTAATGAGATGAAAAAAAGTTAACTGGGGGTAGATGCTGAATAAGAGGGCATTACAAAACTTTATTCAGCCTAAATAATATCCTCAGTTAGGACTTGTCACCTGTAAGGCCACAAATAAGTTGTAAGATGTGGTGAGGAGTCCAAAGGAAGCTGAGGGAGAGCACAGGACAAGGTTTTAGCTTTAGAGAGAAACAGAGGGTTAAAAAATGGTGAATAAGCAATATGTTCATGGTGGTCACCTTTTTTAAAAGGAGTTATGAGAGAAGTGTAAGACAACAAAATCTTTTTAGGAGTCATTACAAAACTTTATTCAGCCTAAATAATATCCTCAGTTAGGACTTGTCACCTGTAAGGCCACAAATAAGTTGTAAGATGTGGTGAGGAGTCCAAAGGAAGCTGAAAGGAAGCACAGGACAAGGTTTTAGCTTTAGAGAGAAACAGAGAGGGTAAAACAATGCTAAATAAGCAATGTGTTCATTATGGTCACCTTTTTTAAAAGGAGTTATGAGAGAAGTGTAAGACAACAAAATCTAGGAGTTTTAAAATCAGTGGGACTGATTGGCATAAGGGTAAAATCAGGGCCAATGGGCAGGATGAAGAATACAGAGAGTGATGTTTCAGGAGAATTACTTGGGTATTTAGAGTTGGAAAGCAATTCCCTTTATCATCAGGTTATAGAAAGTACTGAGGCTGTAAGATGTGGTGAGGAGTCCAAAGGAAGCTGAAAGGAAGCACAGGACAAGGTTTTAGCTTTAGAGAGAAACAGAGAGGGTAAAACAATGCTAAATAAGCAATGTGTTCATTATGGTCACCTTTTTTAAAAGGAGTTATGAGAGAAGTGTAAGACAACAAAATCTAGGAGTTTTAAAATCAGTGGGACTGATTGGCATAAGGGTAAAATCAGGGCCAATGGGCAGGATGAAGAATACAGAGAGTGATGTTTCAGGAGAATTACTTGGGTATTTAGAGTTGGAAAGCAATTCCCTTTATCATCAGGTTATAGAAAGTACTGAGGCAGTGGGAGCATCATTTGGCTGGAGAGCTTCTGTCCTTATTCCTGAAGAGGATTGAGGCTCCAGGATGTGGAGTTAAGAGGATGTGGTCTCCACCTGTGTGCATTTGGGTGTTTGTGGATGTAGAAAGGTGGATAGAAAACAGGACAGAGCAGGCTGGGTTGAAGAGACAGGGGTTGCTAGAGTGGATGTGGTGGAAATTTTCACCTTAATTTCAGCTTGGGGGGAGGTGGATCCCTGTCACAGAATTGCTTGGGTTGGGAGGGATGCTAGAGCTCACCCCGTGCCACCTCCCCATGGCAGGGACACCTTCCACTGTCCCAGGCTGCTCCAAGCCCCATCCAGCCTGGCCTTGGACCTTCCAGTGATCCAGGGGCAGCTTCTCTGGGCATCTATGCCAGGGCCTGCCCACCCTCACAGGGAAGAATATTTTCCTCATAGCCCATCTAACCGTGCTCTCTGTCAGGCTGAAGCCATTCCCCTTTGTCCATAGTCTGTCCGTGTTCCCTGGAGCTCCTTCAGGCAGTTAGGTCAGGCTGGTTGATCCCAATTCCCTCAGCCTTTCCTGAGGCTGCTCCAAGCCCTGTCCAGCCTGGCCTTGGACCCTCCAGTGATCCAGGGCAGCTTCTCTGGGCACCTGTGCCAGGGCCTGCCCACCCTCACAGCCCATCTAACGCTGCTCTCTGTCAGGCTGAAGCCATTCCCCTTTGTCCGTTTTCCCTGGAGCTCCTTCAGGCAGTTAGCTCAGGCTGTTTGATCCCAGCTCCCTCAGCCATTCCTGACAGAAAGCACCCTTTGCACCCCATCTCAGGTGTGTCCTGGGCAACACCACCATCCTGGCGGAGTTTGCAGGCGAGGAGGAGGTGAACCGGTTCCTGGCGCAGGGGCAGGCGCTGCCGCCCACCTCCAGCTGGCAGTCCAACACTGGATCCACGCCCGGCCGCCTGGGCTCCTCGGGCAGCTCCCACGGGCTGGTGCGCCCCGACGCCGGCCACTGGAACCCCCCGTGCCTGGGGGGCAAGGGCAGCAGCGACCTGCTGTGGGGAGGGGTGCCCCAGTACTCCAGCAGCCTTTGGGGACCCCCCAGCGCCGACGACGGCAGAGTGATCGGGAGCCCCACGCCCCTCAACACCCTCCTGCCAGGGGATCTGCTCAGCGGGGAGTCCATCTAGGAGACACGGTGGAAGGAACAATCATCAGCACTAAAGGATAACGGAGAATTTAAAAAAAAAATTAAAAAAAAAATTAAAAAAAAGAAGAAATGGTAACCCTTTCCAGTCCCGGGCGTGATGAAGAATCCAGCTTTAACCCATGAGACTGGCAGCCCTCCTTAGTACCTCTGTCCAATATTGAATCTGAAACTGCAGAAGTCCTTGTGAACTGTTCCTGAAACAGTATGGGCTCCTTTGGTCAGTGTCACATGCTAATGACAGGTTTTACTTTTTTCATGGCTTTTTTTTTTTGTTTTTGTTTTTGTTTTATGTCGTCTCCTGATGTTTGTATGGTGATTTTTCAAAACCAAGTATAAAAGCTGCTTAGAATAGGTCTATCATGAAGGGCACTTTTCAGAATTTGGGCTGGAAAGGGTTATTTTATCAACTGGGGGGGGTGGGAAGGGGAAATGAAAGCCTATTTAAATGAGCCTGTGACTATTATGCACATTACAGAGGCGGACCCAATAATCAGAAAGGGTGAAGTGTGATATTTTACCATTGGTACAGAAAAGTGATGATTCCGAGTGGCAACTCTGGACTGTACAGGTTGAGAGGGGGGGAGGGAGGGCAGGGTTGGGGTATCTCTGTGTCCACTACTCCCATGGATCTGCCTATGCACATTACCCTTGTTTCATTACTTTTTCATGTCATTTTTTTAATCCCAAAAAATAGAAAAAGTAAAAAAAAAAAAGAATAAAAAAATCAACAAAGAAAGAAAAAAATACTTAAAAAAAAAAAGCAACAAACCATATCAACATGCAAATACTTGAATCCAGCAGGCCAATAACAAAATGTGAACACTTTCTGAGTTGAATTATTACACTTCCAGGTCAGCATCAGTACACAAAAAACAGGCTCTAAGAATTTTGTTTTTTAAAAGTTCAGACTCTATGTTTTTGTTGGGACAGATGTGAGTGTGTGTGTGCCTGCCTGTGTGTGCGTGTGCCCACGTGAAATTTAACTCAACGTGTGAAGTTTTTTCCTTTGGTTCAGTATATGCTTTTTATTTGCTCATTGGTCAAATGTTTAATTGTTATTAGCTTCTAACTTTGCACTGAGTGTCCGCAGCCCTTCTTGTAGCTAATCCTGTAATGGTAAAAACACACAAAAAAAAACAAAAAAAAAAAAAAAAAAAAAAAAAAAAAAAGGAAAAAGAGAAAAAAAAGGAAAGAAACTGATAGAAGGGGCCGGCGACAATTCACGTGTAAATGTTTACTCAAGGACTCTTATTGCATTTTAAAATTACAGTGTGTATCTCTGGAGAATAATATGTATATCTACCTTTAGCGGCTTTTTATTGTGGACTAATGCAAGAAAATTATTACCGGAGTATTGCACCATTTTTCCATTCGGAATATAAAGTTTAAAAAAAAAAATACTCTTGTTGAACTGTGGCCATAGATAATTGTAAAGAGTTGATAGTTCCCTTGCAAGCAGGAACAGAAACAAGCACTTGGACATAAGTTTTGACTGCTTTTGGAGGAGCCAGGAGTTTTGGCTCCCACCTGTTTACAGACCTTTTTTTCTCCTTCAAACTTTAAAATAAAAAAAGGAATTTAAAAAAAAAAAAAAAGAGAAAAAACAAAACAAACAAAAAAAAAAGACTTCCATCGTAAAGAAAACTATTTTCAGAATGAAGATATGCTACTTCAGAGCTCTGGGATTGAACAGTGTTGTTGTATTATCCTTTTCTTTGGCCATTGCTGTGTACTATTTTTGTTGTTGTTTTCCTCCTCTTCGTCAAAGTGGCGAAAACTTTGTGATCACTATCTTGCACATGGTGGAAGATGTCTCAGGAAAGCCGGGTTTCCCGAGGAGCAACTCCACACCATTTCATGTATTTTTAAAACCCAACTCCTAGCACTGAAGATATTATTAAAAAACAAAATAAAATAAAAAAAAAAGACAGTAAGAAAGAAGAAAAATACCTAATCTAATGTGTAGCAGTTACATATTTACCAAATAATGGACTCAAAAGAAATAGATGTTTGAAGAGTGCTTTATATATTAAAAAATCGCTTTATGTTTAAAAAAAGATCAATGTTTTTGATTGTTTTGAAAGGAAGAAAGACAATGGAATAACATACACTTCAAGTATGTTTTAAAAATTATATGAACATTGTGCTCCCTGCCTGCTTGGATCAGGAAACTTGTGCATTACATTTTTTTTTTTTTTTTGGAAGATTAGCTTTTTAATGGTTTTATCAGATTTAAAGGGTCCTGCAAGATTGCAAATTAACAAAAGCTGGTTTTATAGAGGATCATGAACTATGCACAAACTGGGTTCAAGACTTGTTTTGGTTTTTTTTTTCCTCAAGTTTTAGTAGTGTATTTAGCTGAATAACCTTTCCTCAGAGTAATTGCATCTCATTGCCATTACACGCCTCCTACATATATATTTTATATATACATATATATACACACACACACTTATATAAAATATGTATGTGTGTATGTGCGTGTTTACATACAATTTTCCATGCTGAAGTTTAGCATTGAGTTGTAGAAAAACTCCTGATATTTTCAAATTGGGAATGAAAATTTCTGTTGGGGGGGTTGGGGTGGGGGAAAGGGTGGGTTTTGTTTTTAGGGGCTTTTTTTTTTTTTTTTTTGGCCTTTCCTTTTGAATTAAAGATGTCTGTAACTCTGAGATTAAAAAGAAAACCAACAATTGTGGCTTTTAATGTTTATTCTCCTCATAGAATGTGATTGTTAAAAGAACATGCACCGAAAGTTGCTTTCAAGAGTACGAAGATTCTTTGAAACTTAATAAATTGCAGTTTTTTCTTGGCTGTTGAAATAATGTGTACTTTTCTTTTATGCAGGGGATACTAAATATATATATATTGTTAAATCTGTGAAGGTATTTCATGGAAGGAGTTTAATTTTGAATGAGAATTCCGTGTACAGACAGGCAAACCCCTCCTGTTGTGGTCACCCCTGTGCTCTCTGCTGGTGACACTCATGAGCTTTTCCATCAACGCTTTGCACGTCTCATCCAGGAGCAGCAGAACCCATTTTTGCCTTCAGATTCTGGTTTTTTTTCTCATTTATCCATGTCTCCAGTAGCACAGTAGCTGAGTTTGTTCCCTCCTCCAGCCAGGCTGGGGCTCCCCCAGCTCCTCCCCAGTTTCTGGCCCTGGATGTCTCAAATTGCCAGTTTAGAGATCTGATCTTGAGGTGAGCAGTAGCCCCTAAAAAGGGGAGAAACAGCAAAATGTTTTCATGTTTGGCCTTGCAGGGTTTGAGTGTAGGAAGATGTTCACCACTCGAAGGTTCTTTTACCCCGAAGGTGCCACCAGGAGGTGCAGGGCTGGGGGTCCATGGGGAGATCCAGCCTTGCTCCATTCCCTGGCCTTTCCTGCCTCCCCAAACCAGTCCCTGAGCCCCCCTGGCACTGGGGCCACTGGTGCTGAGCAGGGCTGGCCCCGGCTCTCAGGGGTGTGAGCTTGGCCAGAGGAGCTCGTTCCCCCCATCCCTTTGGGAAGGAGGATCTGGCATGAACAGCTGGGTCACTGGGAGTTGTCACTGGTACTGGGATTGTCCATGAGCAAATTCCCAGCAAGGACCCAGTGGGCAGTTGGCTCTGAGTTGTGCTGGCAGATAGGATACAGTTAAAATACTCAAATCCAGCTTAGGGGGTAATTTCTGTTATGGAAACAGCAAAAACTCCCAGGCTGGAGCCTGTTCTGCCAATTTGATTGATCTGGCCCCAAAATCACACAGCTCTTTTTTACTGGAAGCTGCTTCCCCTCCCACCTCCTTTTTTTTTTTTTTCCTCTTCCAGGTGTTTATAATGAAACTTAAAAGAGTGTTGCCTTTTTTTTTTTTTTCCTTCTCTGATTCTTTCATGGGTTTGTGTTTTGTTGGGCATTTTGTCCTTGGCAAGGAGGGCTTTCAGTTTTGGTGTCTCTGGGTTTTGTTGCCAAGACATTGAGGTCCCTATATGGACTCAGATGTTTTATTCTTCCATGAGGTTGGCAGCAACAACTTTTTGTAAACCAGATGCACTCTTAAAATTCAGAACCCCCCCCCCAATACATTAAAGGAAATTTCAGCTTTTGGCCAAAATCAATCTTTCAGTGTTTGCATAGCTCTTTATTTTATTCAGTGTCATTCCTCTCCTTCAATGCTATCCAGTATCTCTTAAATTGTAAAGAAGCTCCTGATGATCAGGATTCACCCTCTGGCTGCAGAATCCTCACAAGAAAACATTTTTAACACTTTGTGTTTGTCTTTATGTTGCGTTTGCTGTACCCTCCATGGCACCTTCACTGCATGGCTCCCTGTCTAGGCCAGGAGAATTTCTCTTTCCTAAGTGGTCTGAAACTGTCACATTTCTCAGTTCTTTGTCTGGTTGTGGGTGGCACTGGCAGAGCAGATGTTTTGCTTTTCTCCAAGAAATATATTGCTGTTCTTGCTAATTCAGTATATGATTGTGTATGTGAAGGAGCTTTTTAATTAAAAACAACCAAAAAAATGTATATGGCTATCTGTATATGTTAAGAATTCCTGGAGTTGGAGGAGTCTGGAACTGGAAAACATTGGAGGATTTGGGCTGTGGAGCTCCCCCGTGCCAGCCGAGGGGAGCCGGGCACCCCCAGAGCCACAGCCCAGTGCCCTGGAGTCCCCGGGCAGCGCTGCAGGGCTGTCACAGTGCCACCAGCACGGGGCCACAACCTTCATGATGTCACCAGCACGGTGTCACCCACATGGTGCCACCAGCACGGGGCCACCCGCATGATGCCACCTGCACGATGTCACCCACATGGAGCCACCCTCTCTGTGCCACCCTCTCTGTGCCACCCTCTCGGTGCCACCCGCATGGAGCCACCTGCATGAGGTCACCAGCACGGTGCCACCAGCACGGGGCCACCCGCATGATGCCACCTGCATGATGTCACCCACACGCTGCCACCCGCATGGAGCCACCTGCATGAGGTCACCAGCACGGTGCCACCAGCACGATGTCACACGCACGGTGTCACCCACACTGTGCCACCCTCTCTGTGCCACCTGCATGATGCCACCAGCACCTCCTGGATCCTTTGCCCACTTCCTAATTTATCTGAATTTATTCTTCCTTTGTACTGGAAACACTTTCAGGCAGGCTGCAGAGTGGTGTGACTGGTGGTGTTGGAAAAGAGCAGATCCTCCTTCCATTTTTGCAGTAGGCCTCCTTGTTTTGGTTGCAACATTCAGGCTTTACAATTACGTTTTACTCACAGGAATACCCCACAAGAGCAGGAAAAGCTCACTTTTTTTCATTATTTTATCCCATTTCAAGCAGGACCCACTTTTTCTGCCTTTTCCTGTCACTTGCCTCTGTCCCTCCCATCTCTTCCCTACCTACAGATGCCAGGGAACTTCTGATGAAGGCAGAGGAGGTGATTATTCCACAGGTAAAGAATGGCAGCTTCTGCCTGTGTGAAGTCTGCAAGTTGCCTAATTAGAGCTGTAATCCCAGTGGGAGATTGAGCAGAAGCAGAAAATACCTGAAAGGCAGAGGAGGGGACAGACATCAGCCCCCACAGCTCAGCAGCCCTGGCTCTGTGCTGGGAAAATCACAGATCCTGAAGGAAAAGGCTGCAAACAGCTCTGATCACCCCGGGATGCCTTTATTGATGAGTATTTTCCCAAAAATGCCGGGATTTTTTTTCCCAGCAGCATCCAAGGGGGGATGGATCTGCTGTGGGGAGGGTGGAGAGCCCAGGGACAGGGCTGGAGGGAATTGCACAGGGATTGCCTGATTTATAGGGGAGTCTGAGTTCTGAAAGAACTAAAAATGACTCAAATTTTAAAAAAAGAAAAACCACACAAAAAAAAATTTAAAAAAAAAAAAAACAGAACAAAAAATTTGGTTTCCCTGTTGGCTCAGTGATGCACTTCTCTACAGCACCACCATGCAAACACGAGCATGCAGTGAGGGGGTTCTGCTGTGTCCTGCTCTCTGTCTTGGACTCTCGTCCTTTATTTCCTGCTCCTCAGCTTTCTGTGCCTCTTGGTTTGTGAATTATGGGTTCCACAGTAACCTGGCTGGGAGCACAGCTGGGAGTAGTTTCAAAATCATTTCCCCAGGCTGCTTCAGCACCTTTCTTGGAAAAAATCCCTTTTCTGGGGGCTCTTCTGAAACGCAAAACACAAAGTTGGGCATTGGGACCAGCAGTGACTGCAGCCTGGGACATCTTTGGACAGCCCTTGGTGCTGCTTTTGGGCATTCAGGGACTCAGACTGGGTTTAATGGAGAAAAAAGCCTTAAAACTCTGTCTGCAGCACAAAAGTGGTTTTTGTTACTTAGTGGGAGTTAAGCACAAAACACTAAACCTTCATAATACAGAATTTAAGACACAGGGTAGGTAATTTTGTTCTGTCCTTAATTGGGGTGGGACAGAAGGAAAAGTATTAAAAAATATTAAAAAAATATCAGGACCCAGTACAAAACTGAGGTTGTGTCATCTAGTACAGACATCTCACAGCTGAGATAGTGATCCTTATGCCCTTACAGCTCAAACACTGATTTTTGATCTGATTTAAAGAATTCAGGTATTCTAGGACATTGGAACCCACTGTGGGCACAATCTTTAGATGAGAAAGGAAAACTTTCTGAAGTGAGTCTAAAGGAGATTTGTTGAAGTCTCCTTCTCTACTTGAACCTTCAACAAAGTTAGGAGGCCAAATATCACATTTTTCAAATGGGATTATTCCTAGAGTTCTTGTCAATATGAGTCATCTAAAGTGCAGCATTCCCCTGGCACATCAGGAGTTGAAAAGAGTGCTTAAAAGTGCTCTGCTGGCTTCACTGTCACCACAGAGGGGTCAGCTGTGTGTCCAGCTGCTGGCCTGTGTGGGACCCCAGAGCAGAAATACCAAATCAGAGCATTTATCAACTCTTTTACTTTTTTTGGTTTTTTCTTTTGCATATTTATCACGGAAATCTCTGAAAGTTCATGGTCTGTAAAGCCAGAAATGGTTATCAGCACCTTGGCATGTCCCCGTGGGGTGCAAGGCTGCAGCATGAGGGACATCAGGGTTTCCACAGCACTGACAATGCTGGATTCTGCTGCCCTGGGATTAGGGCCAGAGCCAGGATGGGATGATCAGCTCTGCAGTGAATCTGGGACTGGAGTGGAGATTCCTGTGGTTTTGGTGGTGCTGCCCAGCCCCAGGAGCCACTCTGCCCTCGGGGGCTCGGGGGGGCACTGCCCCTCCAGGGCACAGCTTTGTGCCAGGGGAACAAACCCCACTTTTCCTCTCATTTTCTGCAGCAGCCCTGTTCCATAAAGGCATGACCGTGAGCCCACGGGGTCAGAGCTCCCCTGAGGCTGCCTGGATCTCTGGAGGATGCAGGGCATGAACACAGGGGTTTGCAGAGCAGCTGGGGCTCCTCACTGGAGCCCCTCGATTTCAAAAAAGCCTTTGTGCCAAGCAAAGCTCAGCATGCTGAGCTTTGAGCTGTCAATTAAAAGGCAAAGGACTGTAAATCCTCTTTGCAAACGCTTGGAGCCCTGCAGTGGGTGGTTCCCTGAGCTCCTGCAATCTGTTCTGCCCGGGGAAGAAATCTGCAGTGGCCCCAGGCCTGAGGCACGCTGGGCTGGTGGCCACGGGGGTCAGTGGCCACAGGGGTCAGTGGTCACGGGGGTCAGTGTTCAGAGGCTTCTGACCACAGGGATTGGTGGTCAGAGGGGCTGGCAGTCACAGGGGTCAGTAAGAGGGGCTGGTGATTGCAGGGGTCAGTGGTCCCAGGGGTCAGTGGTCAGAGGATCTGATCGTCACAGGGGCTGGTGGTCAGAGGGGCTGGTGGCCACAAGGATCAGTGCTCACACGGGTCGGTGGTCCCAGGGGATCGATGGTCTCATGGTCAGGGGTGGCAGGGGTCGTTGATGAAAGGGGTTGGTGGTCCCAGGGGATTGATGGTCACGGGGGTCAGCAGTACCAGGGACTGGTGGTCACAGGAGTCAGTGGCCACAGGGGGCAGTGGGGACAGGAGCCCGCTGTCCGGGGTCTCGGGGCAGTGGGGACAGGAGCCCGCTGTCACCAGGGTCTCGGGGCAGTGGGGACAGGAGCCCGCTGTCCGGGGTCTCTCTCGGGGGTCCCCGAGCCCCCCTCCTGTCCCCGGCTGCAATTCCCGCTGTCCCCACAGGGTGGTGCCACGGAGCCGCTCCTGTCCCCAGCCCGGTATTTCTTTGGGGCTCCTTTATAAAATTCCTTTCTTGGGCACGATTCCAGGTGGGTTTCGTGTCCCGGGGCAGTTCCGTGTGCTGCAGGCTGCTCTGCCGCAGGGGTGCAGGGCAGGGGGTGCTGGTTCCTCTGCAAGAGGAGGGTGAAGCCGGGACCGTGGGCTGTGCTCGGATCCAGCCATGCAATCACCAGGGCTGGAGAAGACCTCAAAAGTCATGAAACTGAATGGTCAGCCCTGCCAAGCCCACCTCTAACCCATGTCCCCAAGTGCCACATCCAGTCCTTTAAATCCCCCCGGCCTCGGTGACTCCACCGGGCAGCTGCGCCAGGGCTGGGCAAACCTTCTGGAAAAGAAATTTTCCCCAACACCCCACCTAAACCTGCCCTGGAGAGGCTGTTCCCTGTCATCGTGTCGCTTGTCACCCGGGAGGAGAGGCCGATTCCTCTTGGGGGGCGTTCTCGGGGCTCTGCGTGTCCGGGCGCTGCCCTGGGGATGCTCCCGCTGCCCTGGGGATGCTCCCCCTGCCCTGGGGACGCTCCCGCTGCCCTGGGGACGCTCCCGCTGCCCTGGGGATGCTCCCGCTGCCCTGGGGATGCTCCCGCTGCCTTTCCAGCCCCAGCAGCCCCACGATTCCCCGAATCGCAGCTAATGGGGCTCATGTGATGAGGTTTGTTCTGTCCAGGGCACTCAGCGTTTCCCCGGCGCTGCGCCTCGCTCGGCCACAGCTCCTAAAGACAAACACCCTTAATTACCCCTCAACGACTAAGTGCTGCTTTGGCTTTCAAATATTTTGCTGCGGGTGTCCCCGGCGTGGGTGGTCATGCCTGTGAAAAATGCGTGTTTTATGGTTGGCTTTTCGCAAATACTGAAATTAACATTATATCTGTTATGTTAGAAAGTTATGCTGTATTCATTTTCTTAAATAGTGTGTTAAATATAGTTTTAAGTTATACGATTATGTTAAAATAGAAACTATGCTATGTAAGATTTTTTTTTTAAGAGAGGACAAGCACCGAGACAGCAGCCACAGGACACCTAAACCTTTCAGAGAAAGGGAATTTATTGCTCCATTATCGAGCTCTTCTCGCCTCGCTCAGCCCTGAAGACGCAGTCAGGATTCAGAAGAAGAAGCTGACACTGACCAGACAGAATCCTTTGTTGGAATGGAATTTATGCATCATCTGTGAAGTGTATGAATATGCAACAGGCTGCTGCTTTTAAGGGTTAATCCTCTGTTAACGGGTGTCCTTTTCAGGCTTATTTTGCCCAGAAAAGGTACTCGGAGTCTCAGTAACTCTTTATTCTTATTGTCTCGTATTGTCCTATTCCAAATTGTCCAAATTTTTACTACTCTAATTATATTACTCTTTTTATACCCGTTTTATTACTATTAAACTTTTTAAAAATTTTAAAACAAGAGCTTGGCGTTTCTCACAGTGCCGGGGCCGCCCATCAGTCAGGGCTGGAGCCAAGGGCAGCAGGCAAAACAATTCCCAGAGCCCGGGCTGAGCTCCCTGCCCCGGCTGATTGTGCCCAAACCGAGCCCGGGCAGCTCCCGGATCGAGGATGGGATGCAGGATGCTGGGAGCAACAAACAGGCTGCGGGTAAAAGAACGAAAGAAACAATGGGAAGGATTCCGCTGCTGGATGGATGGATGGATGGATAAAAGGTGTTTGCCTTTACAGTTTGTTTGTAGGTTTGCTGGTAAATGGAATTGGATATTGAAAGGTGAAAGAAACAATGGGGAAAAAATCCTAAATTCCATAAGAATTAAAAACTAAAAATGAGGGTTGTACTTTAGAGGGAAATCTCTGGTATCAGGCATTTCAGGTAGTCTGTACCTCTCAGGTACCTCAGAAATGGGGAAAGAGAGAGGGAAATGTGGGAAATTGGGATAAAAAGAAGGCTGCATCCTCCAAAAACTTGAGAGACCCCAGGGGAAGCCCCATGGCCTCTCCTTTTATTCGGATAAAGTTAAAGGACTCCTCAGTCTCCTTTTTGGTCATAAACCTCTGGTGTTTGGGGGTGAACTTTCCTGGCCATGTGGAACAGAGCAGGGCTCACACGGAGCTCTTCTGGGTGAGCGTGGGGCAGGGAGGCGAGTCTGGAGCGCACGGGGCAGGAAGGACAGGCACAGCGGGAAGATGCTCCAGAACGGCCGGGGGAAGTGGGGCTGGGGGCGGCCGGGGGGGCGGGAGGGGCTCTACAAGGCTGGCAGGCATTGGGCGAGGGGCACCGGGTGCTGCAGGGCTCCTCCAATGGCTCCGCTCTTTGCTGGAGCCCGGCGCTGCAGGGGCAGGAGGCGAGCCCGAGGAGAGGGTCCCGTACCTGCGTGCGAAGCTCCTGCACCTCCTGCAGCTCCCTCTGCACCTTCTGCATCTCCCTCTGCATCTCCTGCACCTCCTGCATGTCCCTCTGCAGCTCCTGCACCTCCTGCATGTCCCTCTGTACCTCCAGCATCTCCTACATGTCCCTCTGCATCTCCTGCACCTCCTGCATGTTCCTCTGCATCTCCTGCGTGTCCCTTTGCACCTCCTGCACCTCCTGCATCTCCCTTGCACCTCCTGCTTGTCCCTCTGCAGCTCCTGCATCTCCTGCACGTCCCCGTGTATCTCCTGCATCTCCCTCTGCACCTCCTGCATGTTCCTCTGCATCTCCTGCATGTCCTTTTGCACCTCCAGCATCTCCTGCATGTCCCTTTGCAGCTCCTGTGCCTCCATCACCTGCTCCTGCAGCTCCGCCGCCTCCAGCACCCCCCTGTGCATCCCCTGCACCTCCAGAGTCTCATTCCTGCAGCTGCAGCGTCTCGGTCAGGATCCATCTGCAGAGCAGTGGCTGCTGCACCCCGCAGGTCCTGGGCTGGGGCTGGCTGGGAGTTGGGGTCCTGGAGCCCCCGGGGTTCCTGCTCTGCCCGGGGCAGGCAGAGGTGGGGTGCAGGGGAGGAGCTCGGGGGGCTCTCCAGGCTGCTGGGACCCCCAGGAGGGGCTGTTTCCAGACCTTGGCCGTGGATCAGGGCCAGCCTTGCCCTTCCCAGATCCCTCTTTTCACACTGCAGGGAGGTTTTCCTTCTGTTTTCCAGGACCAAAGGGTCTGGTGCTCCTGGCTGTGCATCCCCCAAAGCCAAACCCGCCCTGGGAGGTGTGGGGCTGCTGCAGGGCTGCTGCTCAGTGAGAGGAGGGGTCCCTGCACGGCCGGGGCTGGGTGTGGGCAGGGACAGCCCTGCAGGTGTCCCCTGGTGGGCACATCCCTGTGCCTGCGTCCGTCACACCCAGCCCCACTGCAGGTGCCCAAAGTGAGCTGCTCCTGGTCCTTCCCTGCAGGGAATTCCCTTTCCCCAGGACAGGCTCCATCCTGGGCAGCTCTGTGTGTCCCTGTGTGTCCCCGAGGCGCTGGGTGAGGGACAGCCACACACCTGGGCAGGGCGCCGTGGTGGCAGCTGTGAGACACAGGTGAGGGCAACCTGAGCCACCACAGCAGGTCCTGGTGGCACCTGCCTGTCCCCTCTGCTGCCTGTCCCCAGCCTTGTCCCTCACCTGACGCCGGGAGGAGGGCTTGCCTGGCTGGAGGTCGCTGTGGTGGCCCCAGTGCCCACGGCAGAGGTGGCAGCAGGGTGTCCCAGCAGGTGATGCCCACGGGGAGGCCGGGCTCTCCCTGCTGGCCCCTGCTCCCCTGGGAAGGGCTGGCATCCCCGGGTGCCTCCCCAGCTGATCAGGGGCCACCATCCTGTAGGGCTGGGCTTCTGAAAGCTGCAGACCCCAAAGTGCCCACCCCCTTGGTGTGGAGCTGGGGGTGACTCTTAATCCATCAGGCTTTGATATCTCTGTTTCTGGTGTGTGTGTGGGGCTGCTGGGCAGGTTAAGTGCTCATTACAGCCAGGCTGGGCTGTGTGAGGGGAGAGTAAATCAGTCCAGGGCACGCTCAGCACAGCAAACACGGCTCTCCTGTGCCTCCCCCCGTGCCGTTTATTATCTCCTTTTAACATGTTTGTGTTTTTATTTCAGTGGATCAGCTGTCTTTTAATGGCTGGGTGTTATTTTCTGTGCTCAGAGGTGAGAAGATGTTTTATTGTTGGTTTCTGCTGCTCAGTAAAAATGTCAGTGTGGGTAAATTATTAGAAAAATCATAACTCTGAATGTCCTGGCACTGCCAGGGGAGGCTCCTCCAGTGCCAGGACACTCCACATGAGCCTGGAGCGCAGAGGAGGGAAGGCAAAATGCAGTGATAAGAGCATAAAACACTGATAGCAGGCACTGCAGCACCTGAAATACAGGAGAAAGAAACCAAGACATTTTCCAGCTCCACTTTGCAACAATTTATTTACTTGGAATGCTTAAAAAAAACAAAACAAAACAAACAGAAAGAGAATAGAGAAAACCAAACTGATGCACAGACCACCCTATCACATGTTCTACAGACTGAGGACTGCTCGGGTGTGCTGTGGGTGCCAGAGCCATGCCAGGAGGTTGGAGGTGCTGGGGACGAGGTGACACCAGACTCAAGTGCCAGCACAGCGGTGCTGGCAGGGCTGATGCAGCTGCAGGTGCCCACATCTGCCAGAGCCCCCCTGCCCGTGCCTGCCCTCAGCGCCCTGCCTGACCCACGGCTGCTCCCCAGGTGAGCCTCCTGCTTTTTTGGGAATTCCCCACACCCATCCAGCACCCCACCTTCGGGTCACCTCCCACCCTCTCCGCTCCTCTGGGCTGGGTGAGGAAGAGGAGGGAAGGGGTGGGAGGCAGCAGGGGGGGTTTTGGCCGGGGCAGTGCCTCTCCCACCCGGCCCACCTGAGTTTCCAGCCGCGCTCAGCACACGGAGCAGCTGTTGGTCTTGTTCATGGGCGGCCTGAGCGCCTGCTCCTTGGGCAGCGTCTCCCTCCTCTTGCAGAGCGCGGGGCTGAGCCTGCTGGGCAGGTTGGCCTGCTGCAGCAGCTCCCTGAACACCTCCAGGACGTTCTCGTTGTCCTTGGCCGAGGCCTCCACGAAGCGGCTGTTCCAGTCCAGCTCCACCAGCGACAGCGCGTCCTCCACCGGCACGCGCCGCTCGCCGCCGCTCTCCGCCTTGTTGCCCACCACCACGATGGGAGGGAACTTGTCCTCCTTCACCTCCAGGATCTCCTCCCGCAGGCTCTTGACGCTCTCGAAGGACTCGGCGTCATCCACGGCGTAGACCAGGGCGAAGGCGTCGCTGTTCTGGATGGAGAGCTTCCTCATGGCCGGGAAGGAGTAGCTGCCGCTGGTGTCCAGGATCTCCACGGTGACCGTGGCCCCGCACACCTCGTACTCCTTGCTGTGCAGCTCCTCCACCGTGCGCCGGTGCTTGGGCTCGAAGGTGTCCAGCAGGAAGCGCCGGATCAGCGAGGTCTTGCCCACGCCGGCAGCCCCCAGGAAAACCAACCGGACGTGGTTCTTCTCCTTCACCACCAGGGACATGGCTGGCACGGAGGGGACAGGATGCTCCGCAGCTGGTGCTCACCCCGCAGGTGTCCCTGGGTGGCTGCAGCCCCGGTGGTGTGTCCGTCTGTCCGTGCTCCCTGCACTGACTCAGCTCAGCCAGCGAATGTTGGTGCCAGCGCGCCGCGAACTTCCTTTGCCGCGGACTCTACAATCCCCGCGCCCAGCTCATTTTTTTATCCTAGCTCCCCTCTGCCATGTGGCACCAAACTGTCCAATCTCCGTGGCTTGTGGGTGCTGGAGGAGGGAGGGCAGGGAGGGAGGAGAGCGGGGTGCTCCGGGCCAATCCGCGGAGTTCAGCCCTGGAAAGCCACTCCAGCCCTGCAGTGCAGCAGCAGCGCTGCACCGCTGCCGGCAGCGGCGGCACCGCGGCCACGCTGCACCGCCAGCTCCCCACAGAGCCACGGGCGCTGCCTGGCCTGGCCTGCCTGGCCAGGGGACACTCGGTGGCCATCCCCAGCCCTGGCGTGGCTCCTGGCCAGGGGCTGGGCAGTGGCACCTGCGGCGTTTCCTGCGCCGGCTCGGGGCTGGGCGCTCGCTTGCAGAAAGGGTTGCTGTGAACGTGCCCAGTCTCCAGTGAAGCGATGAAATCTTTGGCTGGAGGGGGGAAAATAAGCTCTCCCGTCTGTCATAACCTCCTCATTCAGCTGTCAGTTACCGGTGATTTTTGTGAAATATTTAACCAGAGGGGGAAATGAAATCTCCATGAAGACGACGCGCGGCGCTCGCCGGGAGCAGATGCCGGGGAGCCACGGCCCTGACCCAGCACTGGGGCTGCTCTGGAGGTGCAGGCTGCCCCATCCAGCTGTGTTTGCTCAGCACTCACCTTCCACCCCATGCTGGAGCGGTCTCAGGAGCTCATTCATGCAAAGTGCAAACACAAAGGGAACTTGCACGGAAGTTCAAATAAGTTTCTAACCTAACTTGTGGGCATGTGGTTTTTTGGAGCTTTAACACAGGTTTTCCTTCCATGGCCAAGTACCAGTTCCAGAATTTAGTTCTGGGTGAATTTGTTCTGTTGATTCCAAAACCCTTTTCACTGGAATTAGTCCTGCCTTTTAATTCTCCAGTTATTGTACATTTTAGCCATGTTGGGAGCTTTCCCAGCTAATCTCATTGTCAGGAGAGCCAAGAGATCATATCAGGGTGAGCAGGGTCCTGTCCTGGTGTCCATGTCGGGTCCCCAGCAGGACTGACAGTGGGATTGGTGTCCAGGGCCCCACAGCCCCTGGTGATGCACCTTCCCTCACCACCATGAAGCTCCTTCTGGGGACACTTCGAGAGCCATGAGGAGATCCCACATGTCAAGGGCTGAGCTGTGGGAGCTGGAAGGAGCTGGGGCTGCAGAAGATTTGATGGCAGGCTAAAAGCCAGGAGAAAGGGTGATGTGACATCAGCACCAGTGCAAATGAGGAACTGAAGGCAGCAAGGCAGGACAAGTAATCTCAAGCCAGCCCTTGGAAGCTGTTTAAAACCAAGCCCCTAATTGTTTTAATAGGAAAGAATTTGGTCAATGCCTCTTTGTGTTTGGTTTTCAAGAGAGATGGAAAGGGTTTCCTGCAGTCCCTCCCAGCTGCTACAGCAGAACTCTGCAGGCTCTCAGGATGTGCTGGGGGCTGTGGTGCCCTTGCTGCTGCTCCTTTTCCCAGCATTTCATTCCAAAGGGCCTCAAACCGTGGATCTCTTCAATCTCACCACACCCAGCATCTCTCACAGCTGTGGAAATGATGCCCAGTGTGAAGGAGGAACCCATGGCAGGAGGGAATGGGAACCCCAGGCTCCAAGCTCCCCATCCTGGCTCTAAACCATCCCCTTTACTGCTGGCACCCAGGGAAGGAGCCAGCATGGCCAGGCAGCAATGCCATCCATGGAGGGCTTCCAGAGCTGGGCTTGGGACAGCCTGGTGCTGTGGGAGCCAGGACTGGGTCACACCACAACCACTGCCCTTGGTCTGGGTCACTCCTGCAGAGGTGGAATGTCCTGGCAGCTGTGGGCAGGGTGAAGGGGCAGCCTGGGCTGTGGCACAAAGCTGTGGCACTGTGGGGTCACAGCCAGAGCCACAGACAGTCACACAGAGCCAGGCTCCGCAGCCCCCGTGGTTTCTCACATCACTTGTCTCCCCTCAGTTCTCACATCTGTGCTGCTATGGTTACCAAGAGCCTGGGAGGTTTTAAATCTCCCTCAGAGCAATGGAGGATTTCAGGGTAATCTTGTTAGGAGATGAGCAATGAATATTTCCAAAGGCCTTTTGCATGGATAGCTGTTCCCTGTGAGCTTATGGCCCCTGACAGCAGGGAAAGCAAAGCACGGGGGACTGAGCAGGGAAGGATGAGCACAGTGACTTGTTTTCCACTACAGCCCTTTGTGCCCACACTAATGACCCTAAATTCTGGATTTTTCAAGGCTGACCAGCTTGGGTCAGATATTACCCAAAAAAAATCATTTCAGTCTGTGTTTCCCCCAGGGAAAGACTCAGAGGGCCTTTATGGGCACTTGGAGATGGGGACAGTGATGGATGAGCCCTGCAGAAACGCCCTGTATCCTGCCCAGGGGGGCTGAGGTGGTGGGAGAGCCCAGGATCCATCTGTGGGGTTTTGTAATGCAGGTGGAGTTCGGATCCTGCAGCCAGGGCACAAACTGCACCACAGGAACTGGAGCGTGGCAGGGCAAAGCCTCTGCCAGTGCTGGGCCAGAGCGAGCCCTGGGCTGTCCCCAGGGGAGAGGGGACACCCCAGGGACAGAGGAATGAGGGAGGAAGGCAGCAACCTGCCTGCCAGGGAGCAGGGAGGGAAAGGAGCCCTGAGCAGGGAAAAGGGCAGGCAGGGGGAAGGATGGAGGGGTGACAGCAGTGTGGGGCAGGAGCTGGGATGGAGCAGGGGTGGGTTTGGAGAGGGTGGAATCACACCCCCAGTGTTCACAGGCAGGTCTGGAGCAAGCTTGGAGATGTTTGTGGTCATCCTTACCCCAAAGCCAACCCTCTGCAGGGCTGACAGAGCAGGGGGGTCCCCGTGGGGGACAGGGGTGGTCCCCAGGGTCCCAGTCAGAGCCAGGGCTCAGGCAGAGCCATCAGCCAAGCCTGGGCTGCTGGATGGTCCCTGCCCGAGCACAGCCCCCGTGGGCTGGGCAGCCTTTGGCAGTCAGGAGAGGGCAGTTTGGGTCAGAATGCTGGGAAATGGTGTGTGGGCCAGGGAGTGAGCCAAAGGATGGGAGACTGGATGGTCCTGCCCAAAAACAGCCCCCATGGCAGTCAGGAGAGGGCAGTTTGGGTCAGAATGCTGGGAAATGGTGTGTGGGCCAGGGAGCACGGAGACAGAGGAAGGGGCTGAACCCCTGGCCCTGGGAAAAGCCAGCAGCACTCAGCACAGCAGAAACCCTGGGGTCTGCTCCCCTCACAGGCTGTTTGCCCCTGGGGATGTGGAACAGGGTGCATGTGGAACAGTGTGGTGCCCCTGAACCAGCCCTCAGAGCTCCACTGCTGGAGGGGTGTGAGTGAAGCTCTCCCCAAAAACATCCTGGTGTCCTGACAAGGTTTGTGAAATTCTTTACAAACATTCATTTTTTGCCTCGCTTTTCAGCTTATGTCTGGTGCCTCAAAGGGGTTGAGTGAGGGGAAAGCCAGCAGAGCACAGCAGCCCTTCCACTGGCCAAGTGCTCCCCGGCTCTGCAGCTGCTCCCAGGTGGGAGGAAGGCAATCTGCACCTCCAGGAACAGCCCGTGCTGTGCCTGGAGTGCTCTGGGCAGCTCCTGCCTCGGTGCCTGGCTGTCCTGGCTCAGAGGGAACAGCAGCTCTGATGTTCTCAGCACTGGAGCTGCTGGTGCTGGGCACTGCTCCAGCCCTGGACACGGTGCCCTGGATCAGCCCCACGGTCACACACGGGTGACAGAGCCCTGGCCCATTGCTCACAGGCAGTGAGGCATCTCTGTGAGTGCTGGTGAGCAGACTGCAGCACCGTGGGGCATTCCCAGGAGCCTGAGCAGCTGCTGGAGCTGCAAGGGGTGCTCACAGGCAGTGAGGCAGCTCTGTGAGTGCTGGTGAGCAGGCTGCAGCTCCTGGGGCATTCCCAGGAGCCTGAGCAGCTGCTGGAGCTGCAAGGGGCACCCAGAGCCTCAGCAGCCTTTGCACCCACAGGGTGCAGGACACGGGCAGTGAGCACAGCCTGGGTGGGTGATCCCACCCCACCCACTCGTGCCCCTGCCTCTGCTTCTCCCCTTGGATAATTCACAGAATTCACAGAACTCACAGAATCACTGGGTTGGAAGAGACCTTCAAGACCATCGAGTCCAGCCCAGCCCCAACACCTCAATTGAATCCTGGCCCCCAGTGCCACATCCAGGCTTTGTTAAACACACCCAGGGATGGTGACTGCACCACCTCCCCGGGCAGCCATTCCAGAACTTTATCACCCTTGCTGTGAAAAACTTCTTCCTGATCTCCAACCTGTATTTCCCTTGGTGCAGCTCAAGGCTGTGTGCTCTGGTTGTGCCAGTGCTGCCTGCAGAGAGAGCCCAGCCCCAGCTGAGCACAGGCACCTTTCAGGAGCTGTGCAGAGTGATGAGGCACCCCTGAGTCTCCTTTTCTCCAGGCTGAGCACCCCCAGCTCCCTCAGTGGCTCCTCTCAGGGTTTGTGTTCCCAGCCCCTCACCAGCCATAAATTCATGGTGGATGTGAGCCTGGCTGTGTTCCCAGCTGGGTTTCCCAGCTGAGGAGCTGGGAAGGCAAGTGGCAGTACTGGGAACCCCCCTGCACTGCAGGCATGGCCAAGCTGCACCTCTGGGGTGGATCCTGGCTTCTCCCAGCTGGAGTGAGCCCTGGAAGGGAGCCCAGGTGAAACAGGAGAGGGAGGAGAAGCTGCTGCCTGCTGTGGGACAGCAAAGGGCCAGCCTGGGCTGTGTGAGGCAGAGGAGGGACAGGGTCAGCGAGGCAGGTCCTGCCCCGTGTGGGGACAGGCTGCACCCGAAAGGGTTAAACCTGCCTCTCCCGGAGATTAAATCCAAATGGCCTTTGATTCAGCGGCAGGTGAGAGGAGAAACCCGAGCCCTATAGCTGCCACCCCCCTGGAGGGGGGATGCATAGATGGATCAGCCATACGTGCTGCTCCTGTCTGGAACAGCTCCTGTTCCCGGCTCCGGG